CGTTCGTAACTTTCTTGTTCGTGCTCCGATTGAAGCGATACTTGGTTCCTCGGAAAGCTCTTGAGCAGAGGAGTCACTTCAGATATCTGCTCAAGCCAAATAACATTCACACACACACACACTCAGAAAAACCAAACCGCACAAAACACAAATTCTTGCACACACTCACAACACGCATGCAACGCACGAACATATGATGGGAGGCAGACAGACGTGAATGCAAATGGTAGCATCACTCAACAGCTACGCCCTTGTTCTTTCAATTTTGCACACGCTAGGTCCTTGTTCTTGCAATTTTTTCACACGCTACGCCCTTGTTCTTGCAATTTTGCACGCGCTACGCCCTAGTTCTTGCAATTTTGCACTCGCTAGGCCCTTGTTCTTGCAATTTTGCACACGGTAGGCACTTGTTCTTGCAATTTTGCACATGCTAGGCCCTTGTTCTTGCAATTTTTTCACACGCTAGGCCCTTGTTCTTGCAATTTTGCACACGCTAGGCCCTTGTTCTTGCTATTTTGCACACTCTAGGCTGTTGTTCTTGCAATTTTGCACTCGCTAGGCCCTTGTTCTTGCAATTTTGCACTCGCTAGGCCCTTGTTCTTGCAATTTTGCACATGCTAGGCCTTTGTTCTTGCGATTTTGCACACGCTACGCCCTTGTTCTTGCAATTTTGCACTCGCTAGGTCCTTGTTCTTGCAATTTTGCACTCGCTAGGCCCTTGTTCTTGCAATTTTGCACACGGTAGGCCCTTGTTCTTGCAATTTTGCACTCGCTAGGCCCTCGTTCTTGCAATTTTACGCTCGCTAGGCCCTTGTTCTTGCAATTTTGCACACGCTAGGTCCTTGTTCTTGCAATTTTTTCACACGCTACGCCCTTGTTCTTGCAATTTTGCACACGCTACGCCCTTGTTCTTGCAATTTTGCACACGCTAGACCCTTGTTCTTGCAATTTTGCACACGCTAGGCCCTTGTTCTTGCAATTTTGCACATGCTAGGCCTTTGTTCTTGCGATTTTGCACACGCTACGCCCTTGTTCTTGCAAGTTTGCACTCGCTAGGCCCTTGTTCTTGCAATTTTGCACTCGCTAGGCCCTTGTTCTTGCAATTTTGCACACGCTAGGCTCTTGTTCTTGCGATTTTGCACACGCTAGGTCCTTGTTCTTGCAATTTTTTCACACGCTAGGCCCTTGTTCTTGTAATTTTGCACTCGCTAGGCCCTTGTTCTTGCTATTTTGCACACGCTAGGCTTTTGTTCTTGCAATTTTGCACTCGCTAGGCCCTTGTTCTTGCAATTTTGCACACTCTAGGCCCTTGTTCTTGCAATTTTGCACACGCTAGGCCCTTGTTCTTGCAATTTTGCACATGCTAGGCCTTTGTTGTTGCGATTTTGCACACGCTACGCCCTTGTTCTTGCAATTTTGCACTCGCTAGGCCCTTGTTCTTGCAATTTTGCACTCGCTAGGCCCTTGTTCTTGCAATTTTGCACACGGTAGGCCCTTGTTCTTGCAATTTTGCACATGCTAGGCCCTTGTTCTTGCAATTTTGCACATGCTAGGCTCTTGTTCTTGCGATTTTGCACACGCTAGGTCCTTGTTCTTGCACTTTTTTCACACGCTACGCCCTTGTTCTTGCAATTTTGCACTCGCTAGGCCCTTGTTCTTGCAATTTTGCACTCGCTAGGCCCTTGTTCTTGCAATTTTGCACTCGCTAGGCCCTTGTTCTTGCAATTTTGCACACGCTAGGCCCTTGTTCTTGCAATTTTGCACTCGCTAGGCCCTTGTTCTTGCAATTTTGCACTCGCTAGGCCCTTGTTCTTGCAATTTTGCACACGCTATGCCCTTGTTCTCGCAATTTTGCACACGCTTGGCCCTTGTTCTTGCAATTTTGCACACGCTAGGCCCTTGTTCTTGCAATTTTGCACATGCTAGGCCCTTGTTCTTGCGATTTTGCACACTCTACGCCCTTGTTCTTGCACTTTTGCACTCGCTAGGCCCTTGTTCTTGCAATTTTGCACTCGCTAGGCCCTTGTTCTTGCAATTTTGCACACGGTAGGCCCTTGTTCTTGCAATTTTGCACATGCTAGGCCCTTGTTCTTGCAATTTTGCACACGCTAGGCTCTTGTTCTTGCGATTTTGCACACGCTAGGTCTTTGTTCTTGCAATTTTTTCACACGCTAGGCCCTTGTTCTTGCAATTTTGCACTCGCTAGGCCCTTGTTCTTGCTATTTTGCACACGCTAGGCTTTTGTTCTTGCAATTTCGCACTCGCTAGGCCCTTGTTCTTGCAATTTTGCACACGCTAGGCCCTTGTTCTTGCAATTTTGTACTCGCTAGGCCCTTGTTCTTGCAATTTTGCACACGCTAGGCCCTTGTTCTTGCGATTTTGCACACGCTAGGCCCTTGTTCTTGCAATTTTGCACACACTAGGCCCTTGTTCTTGCAATTTTGCACACGCTACGCCCTTGTTCTTGCAATTTTGCACTCGCTAGGCCCTTGTTCTTGCAATTTTGCGCTCGCTAGGCCCTTGTTCTTGCAATTTTGCACACGCTAGGCCCTTGTTCTTGCAATTTTGCACACGCTAGGCCCTTGTTCTTGCAATTTTGCACACGCTAGGCCCTTGTTCTTGCAATTTTGCACTCGCTAGGCCCTTGTTCTTGCAATTTTGCACACGCTAGGCCCTTGTTCTTGCGATTTTGCACATGCTAGGCCCTTGTTCTTGCAATTTTGCACACGCTAGGCCCTTGTTCTTGCAATTTTGCACACGCTACGCCCTTGTTCTTGCAATTTTGCACTTGCTAGGCCCTTGTTCTTGCAATTTTGCGCTCGCTAGGCCCTTGTTCTTGCAATTTTGCACACACTAGGCCCTTGTTCTTGCAATTTTGCACACGCTAGGCCCTTGTTCTTGCAATTTTGCACACGCTAGGCTGTTGTTCTTGCAATTTTGCACTCGCTAGGCCCTTGTTCCTGCGATTTTGCACACGCTAGGCCCTTGTTCTTGCAATTTTGCACTCTCTAGGCCCTTGTTCTTGCAATTTTGCACACGCTAGGCCCTTATTCTTGCAATTTTGCACACGCTAGGCCCTTGTTCTTGCAATTTTGCACACGCTAGGCCTTTGTTCTTGCGATTTTGCACACGCTACGCCCTTGTTCTTGCTATTTTGCACTCGCTAGGCCCTTGTTCTTGCAATTTTGCACACGCTAGGCCCTTGTTCTTGCAATTTTGCACTCGCTTGGCCCTTGTTCTTGCTATTTTGCACACGCTAGGCCCTTGTTCTTGCTATTTTGCACACGCTACGCCCTTGTTCTTGCACACGCTGGGCCCTTGTTCTTGCAAAATAGCATGAAAGGCATGGCAAACCTTGATGAAATGAAGTGAAAACTGGATAGGGATCATGACTAGGTGTTATGACAGTGCCCTATCAAAATGGGCTCATTTGCCCAAGGAGAAGTGGGTGATTTCACCAGACACATCACAGCAGGCAACTCAACACTAACTTCCTTGCAAGAAAAAGTCCACCAAATCAGTTTGCATATAGCTGAAAATGTTCAGGGGGGCTGGAACAGGTGTCATAACACTAACAATGCTAAAAAAAATGGTCACCACATAACACATGTGTGTGATGCCCAGAGAATGACTTTACATGTGCTATGAGCAATCTTAGTTGACCCAAAAGTGACAAAATGTAACAAATTTGACAAAATAACAAACTCATGCCCGCTGGTAGAGGACATCAAGGAGATGCTGGAAATCCATATTTGTGTGCAAATGATCAACAAATTATGGAGTTATGAGCCAAACCATATAGAATGTTGACTTAGCCATTTTGACATTCTGCTTGTCAGAATTACACCAGAGTGTCAACAACAAAGTTTATCTACAAATACTGTACAACAGTGGTTGCGACGTCGCTTTCGTGCGACCGTCGATAATCCAAACCGGTAGTGTAACCACTCTTGCGCCCATTTCGTTGCGCCATCAGGTGGTTTGGATTTTGTAAGGTCCAACACCCTTTTGCGCCGAATCCGAGTCAAATCCGAGTAAAATCGTCTCGCCACGGGCAAAATGGAGTTTCGCAAAAAAAAAAATGAATCCCGGTCGAAGCAGAGGATCCGAGTGCTGCTTCCGCCTTTGGCCCGCCCTTCCCCCGTCAGGTGGTTTGGATTTCTAGGACTTCGAAGAATATATCTCAGTGGACAACCGAGTCCGCCGAGGGGAGCTCGCTGCCCGCGGGCAAAACAAATAAACCCCAGAAGGGCATGCATCCGGTCAGGGAGGCATCAACCCTAAACACAGGGAGGCGTGGATTTAGGGTTGATGCCTCCCTAGGATGGCATGCCATCCGATAGGGTTTTAGTTTTTTTCTGCCCGGGGCAGCATGTCGTCAAGTCGTCAGAGGGTCGTCAGGCTTGACGACCCGTTTCCGCCGAGATATTCCGACAGGCATAGTGCCAGGTGCTGGAGATGGGGGGAAGTGCTGCTGATTGCTGTGTTCGTTTCGCAGAATGTTTTCGTCGAGCAGTTACCAGCAGGTTGCGCCTGCCTTGACCCCACCTCGGTTTCTTCCCAGCAAGTTACGGAGTCAGTTCTCGGGGACATCGTCGTCCGGGTTACAATTCGCTAACTTGGGAGGGGGGCGTGGTTGAGGTGGCTGACGAAATCAGTTCACTTCGTCTCCGTCGCCAATCACCTGTCTTGAGCTGTGAAGTCAAACCACTAACTTACCAGGCCCTAGTTTGGGCACTGTTGGGGGAACAATCTGGGAGGACCCCCAAATCTTTGTGACCGCAATCGCCGGTTGCATCTAGAACCAGCATAGTGTCGTTAGTTACGCTGCAGATTCTACCTTCTCTTGGCCAACCTCGGTTCCCACAGTCCGCCAGCCTCTTACCCCGCCGTCCCTGTCCGAACTCTTCCATTCATTTTCTGCGTTCGCTCCATTCGCCGGAGCGCCTGGCGGCGGTCTCATTCCATTATCCCTTGTGTGGGCCCATCGGGAGGCGCGAATGGGCGACGTGGAGGAGGAGGAGAGCCGGCGGCTGGAGGACTTTTACACGCTGCACGAGGTGCTGGGCACGGGCGGGTTCTCCGTGGTGCAGCGCGCCGAGTCGAAGGAGGACGGCACGGCGGTGGCGGTGAAGACGCTGAAGAAGCACGGCGGGCCGAGCGTGTCGAACGCGCTGGTGGAGAACGAGATCATGGTGATGAACCGCATCGTGGACGAGGTGTCGCCGCACCCCAACGTCATCCACCTCGTCGACGTGTTCGAGGACGCGCACTGCATCCACCTCGTGCTCGAGCTCTGCTCCGGCGGGGAGCTCTTCGACCGCATCGTGCAGCAGGAGCGCTACTCCGAGGCGGGCGCCGCGCTCGTCATCCGCCAGATCGCCAACGGGCTGCGCAGCCTGCACGCCGCGCGCATCGCGCACCGCGACCTCAAGCCCGAGAACTGCCTGTTCCTGACGGCGGCGCCCGACGCGCCGCTGAAGATCATGGACTTCGGGCTGAGCTCCATCGAGGGCGAGACGAGCCCGCTCGTGGGCCTCTTCGGCTCCATCGACTACGTCTCGCCCGAAGCGCTCTCCCGCCGCGAGTCGCGCGCCGCCGGGGACATGTGGTCGCTGGGCGTCATCCTCTACATCCTGCTCTGCGGGTGCGCGCGCTGAGGAGGGGAAGGGGGGAAGAGGGATACAGGGTGGGGGGAGGGGGGAGGGGTGAGGGGATGCCAGGGCAAGCGCAGGCGCAGGCGCAGGAGCAGGGGCAGGTGCTTGGGCAGGCGCAGGAGAAGGCGCAGGAGCAGGCGCAGGTGCAGGCGCAGGGCAGGCCAAGGCGCAAGGGCAGGGGCAGGGGCAGGGGCAGGGGCAGGGGCAGGGGCAGGGGCAGGGGCAGGGGCAGGGACAGGGGCAGGGGCAGGGGCAGGGATAAGGGGGGGGGGCAGAGGCAGGGACAAGGGCAGGGGCAGGCGCAGGGGCAAGGGAGGGGGAAGAGCGGCGGCAAGGGCAGGGACAGGTGCAGGCGCGGGCGCAGGGGCGGTGTGCGGGGAGGTAAGGGTAGGGGAGGGCGCATGCTCGGGAGGCGGATGCCTTGGCAGAAGGGGTGCAAATTCTGTGGGACGGGCTGGGATGTACCGGTGATGATGATGATGTACCGGTGATGATGATGATGTACCGGTGATGATGATGATGTACCGGTGATGATGATGATGATGTACCGGTGATGATGATGATGTACCGGTGATGATGATGATGTACCGGTGATGATGATGATGATGTACCAGTGATGATGATGATGTACCGGTGATGATGATGATGTACCAGTGATGATGATGATGTACCGGTGATGATGATGATGATGATGTACCGGTGATGATGATGATGTACCGGTGATGATGATGATGTACCGGTGATGATGATGATGTACCAGTGATGATGATGATGTACCGGTGATGATGATGATGTACCGGTGATGATGATGATGTACCGGTGATGATGATGATGTACCGGTGATGATGATGATGTACCGGTGATGATGATGATGTACCGGTGATGATGATGATGTACCGGTGATGATGATGATGTACCGGTGATGATGATGATGTACCGGTGATGATGATGATGTACCGGTGATGATGATGATGTACCGGTGATGATGATGATGTACCGGTGATGATGATGATGTACCGGTGATGATGATGATGATGTACCGGTGATGATGATGATGTACCGGTGATGATGATGATGTACCAGTGATGATGATGATGTACCGGTGATGATGATGATGATGTACCGGTGATGATGATGATGTACCGGTGATGATGATGATGTAGTACCGGTGATGATGATGATGTACCGGTGATGATGATGATGTACCGGTGATGATGATGATGTACCGGTGATGATGATGATGTACCGGTGTGCAAATGATGCTGGTGCCGTTCATTGTGACCTCAGCTGTCAGTGGGCGAGGTGCAGAGATTCATTCTAAATGCCTCAAGCCTGGTACCTGATGCCCCATGTGTGGTGTGTGTGGTGCGTGCATGGCTGTGCATGCAGGTACCCGCCCTTCCACGCGCTCAACAACCGTGCCAAGCAGCAACTCATTCTCAACGTCAGTCCCCCCGCCTCCTCCCCGCGCCTCTCATGCCTAATCCTTCCCTTCCTGCTGCAACAAGTCGTTATGCCCCTATGCCACTGCTATCCTGAGGGGTTCTGCAAACGAGGTGGCGTGACGTGGCATGGTGTGGTGTGTGCGTGGTGTGTGTGTGGGTGGCAGGCGAGTTTTGACTTTGAGGAGGCGACATGGAGGAGCATATCGCAGTCCGCCAAGCAGCTCGTCACCAGCCTGCTCACCGTCGACCCCTCCAAGCGACCCACCGCTGCTGAGGTAAGCTTCTCCTCCAAGCAAGCCCCTCCCCGAAACAAGCCTCTCCTTTGCTACCCATCCACCCCTGCCTCATATCCTCTGTTCATGTGCCCCATACCACAATCGCATTACTGACTTCTCCCTTCCCTCCTGAGCACCCTCCCCTCTGGGCCACGCCCTGCCCCCTGTGCGCGCCCGTGGCAGCTGCTGCTGCACCCGTGGGTGAAGGGCGACGCAGCGAGGCAGGAGCCGATGGAGCCAGAGGTGTGCCGGCGCCTGCTCACCTTCAACGCACGCCGCAAGTTCCGAGCGGCGGCGTATGCGAGCATCGTGAGCAACAAGCTCATGCTGCGCACACGGGCGCTGCGGAACATACTGGGTGGATTCGACACACTCAATGAGACGGAGCTCAAGGACCTGCACACGCACTTCAAGAGAATGTGAGCTGCACACATGCGTACACGCAAGAAACTCATTACAAATCTTGCACCAGCTTCTTACCTTCACCAATCTCTGGTGCCATTCACTGACCTACACCGCCTGTTTTCCCCATTGAACCCACCCATTGCCCCCTTTTCCCCTTTCCCTCCCTGCATGCTGCTCAGATCGTCGAGTGGCACGAGTGTGACAGTGGCGGAGTTTGAGGACGTGCTGAGGGCCATGGGCATGGGCAGCCTGGTGCCGATGGCGCGGCGCGTGTTTGAGGTGTTTGACAGCGACAAGAACGGAACCGTCGACATGCGGGAGATCGTCTGTGGCCTCGCTGCCTTCCGCAAGTCCCAAGGCGACGACGCCCTGCGCCTCTGCTTCAAGGTGCGCCTCTGCTTCAAGGTGCGCCTCTGCTTCAAGGTGCGCCTCTGCTTCAAGGTGCGCCTCTGCTTCAAGGTGCGCCTCTGCTTCAAGGTGCGCCTCTGCTTCAAGGTGCGCCTCTGCTTCAAGGTGCGCCTCTGCTTCAAGGTGCGCCTCTGCTTCAAGGTGCGCCTCTGCTTCCAGGTGCGCCTCTGCTTCAAGGTGCGCCTCTGCTTCAAGGTGCGCCTCTGCTTCAAGGTGCGCCTCTGCTTCAAGGTGCGCCTCTGCTTCAAGGTGCGCCTCTGCTTCAAGGTGCGCCTCTGCTTCAAGGTGCGCCTCTGCTTCAAGGTGCGCCTCTGCTTCAAGGTGCGCCTCTGCTTCAAGGTGCGCCTCTGCTTCAAGGTGCGCCTCTGCTTCAAGGTGCGCCTCTGCTTCAAGGTGCGCCTCTGCTTCAAGGTGCGCCTCTGCTTCAAGGTGCGCCTCTGCTTCAAGGTGCGCCTCTGCTTCAAGGTGCGCCTCTGCTTCAAGGTGCGCCTCTGCTTCAAGGTGCGCCTCTGCTTCAAGGTGCGCCTCTGCTTCAAGGTGCGCCTCTGCTTCAAGGTGCGCCTCTGCTTCAAGGTGCGCCTCTGCTTCAAGGTGCGCCTCTGCTTCAAGGTGCGCCTCTGCTTCAAGGTGCGCCTCTGCTTCAAGGTGCGCCTCTGCTTCAAGGTGCGCCTCTGCTTCAAGGTGCGCCTCTGCTTCAAGGTGCGCCTCTGCTTCAAGGTGCGCCTCTGCTTCAAGGTGCGCCTCTGCTTCAAGGTGCGCCTCTGCTTCAAGGTGCGCCTCTGCTTCAAGGTGCGCCTCTGCTTCAAGGTGCGCCTCTGCTTCAAGGTGCGCCTCTGCTTCAAGGTGCGCCTCTGCTTCAAGGTGCGCCTCTGCTTCAAGGTGCGCCTCTGCTTCAAGGTGCGCCTCTGCTTCAAGGTGCGCCTCTGCTTCAAGGTGCGCCTCTGCTTCAAGGTGCGCCTCTGCTTCAAGGTGCGCCTCTGCTTCAAGGTGCGCCTCTGCTTCAAGGTGCGCCTCTGCTTCAAGGTGCGCCTCTGCTTCAAGGTGCGCCTCTGCTTCAAGGTGCGCCTCTGCTTCAAGGTGCGCCTCTGCTTCAAGGTGCGCCTCTGCTTCAAGGTGCGCCTCTGCTTCAAGGTGCGCCTCTGCTTCAAGGTGCGCCTCTGCTTCAAGGTGCGCCTCTGCTTCAAGGTGCGCCTCTGCTTCAAGGTGCGCCTCTGCTTCAAGGTGCGCCTCTGCTTCAAGGTGCGCCTCTGCTTCAAGGTGCGCCTCTGCTTCAAGGTGCGCCTCTGCTTCAAGGTGCGCCTCTGCTTCAAGGTGCGCCTCTGCTTCAAGGTGCGCCTCTGCTTCAAGGTGCGCCTCTGCTTCAAGGTGCGCCTCTGCTTCAAGGTGCGCCTCTGCTTCAAGGTGCGCCTCTGCTTCAAGGTGCGCCTCTGCTTCAAGGTGCGCCTCTGCTTCAAGGTGCGCCTCTGCTTCAAGGTGCGCCTCTGCTTCAAGGTGCGCCTCTGCTTCAAGGTGCGCCTCTGCTTCAAGGTGCGCCTCTGCTTCAAGGTGCGCCTCTGCTTCAAGGTGCGCCTCTGCTTCAAGGTGCGCCTCTGCTTCAAGGTGCGCCTCTGCTTCAAGGTGCGCCTCTGCTTCAAGGTGCGCCTCTGCTTCAAGGTGCGCCTCTGCTTCAAGGTGCGCCTCTGCTTCAAGGTGCGCCTCTGCTTCAAGGTGCGCCTCTGCTTCAAGGTGCGCCTCTGCTTCAAGGTGCGCCTCTGCTTCAAGGTGCGCCTCTGCTTCAAGGTGCGCCTCTGCTTCAAGGTGCGCCTCTGCTTCAAGGTGCGCCTCTGCTTCAAGGTGCGCCTCTGCTTCAAGGTGCGCCTCTGCTTCAAGGTGCGCCTCTGCTTCAAGGTGCGCCTCTGCTTCAAGGTGCGCCTCTGCTTCAAGGTGCGCCTCTGCTTCAAGGTGCGCCTCTGCTTCAAGGTGCGCCTCTGCTTCAAGGTGCGCCTCTGCTTCAAGGTGCGCCTCTGCTTCAAGGTGCGCCTCTGCTTCAAGGTGCGCCTCTGCTTCAAGGTGCGCCTCTGCTTCAAGGTGCGCCTCTGCTTCAAGGTGCGCCTCTGCTTCAAGGTGCGCCTCTGCTTCAAGGTGCGCCTCTGCTTCAAGGTGCGCCTCTGCTTCAAGGTGCGCCTCTGCTTCAAGGTGCGCCTCTGCTTCAAGGTGCGCCTCTTGCCTTCAAGGTGCGCCTCTGCTTCAAGGTGCGCCTCTGCTTCAAGGTGCGCCTCTGCTTCAAGGTGCGCCTCTGCTTCAAGGTGCGCCTCTGCTTCAAGGTGCGCCTCTGCTTCAAGGTGCGCCTCTGCTTCAAGGTGCGCCTCTGCTTCAAGGTGCGCCTCTGCTTCAAGGTGCGCCTCTGCTTCAAGCTGCGCCTCTGCTTCAAGGTGCGCCTCTTCTTCAAGGTGCGCCTCTGCTTCAAGGTGCGCCTCTGCTTCAAGGTGCGCCTCTGCTTCAAGGTGCGCCTCTGCTTCAAGGTGCGCCTCTGCTTCAAGGTGCGCCTCTGCTTCAAGGTGCGCCTCTGCTTCAAGGTGCGCCTCTGCTTCAAGGTGCGCCTCTGCTTCAAGGTGCGCCTCTGCTTCAAGGTGCGCCTCTGCTTCAAGGTGCGCCTCTGCTTCAAGGTGCGCCTCTGCTTCCAGGTGCGCCTCTGCTTCAAGGTGGGCTTTTTTTTAGGCACCTTCGTTCTAGATGTCCTAGTTTTTGCGAGCCACATTGGGATTGATGTTAAAAAAGAGGGAAGAAAAGAGTGGGGGTTTGGGGGAGGGGGGTTGGAGGGGGATTGCAGTGCACGCGGCATTGGAAGCTGAGGGCTGCCTTTCACACTGCTCATACCCACCCAGTGTGCCCCGCGACCTGGGCTCCACAAGAAACACCCTTTGAAGCAAATTGTGAAGGGATGGTCAGTGGTGCATGCATTGAGAGGGCCGCTCTGCTGAGAGACTCACACTGCCTTGCCTCCATCCATTTCCCCTGTGCCACTCATCTCTCTCCACGGCATGCAGATGTACGATGCGGATGACTCAGGATACATTTCAAAGGACGAGCTTGCTGCTATGCTCAAGGTGAGCTCGCTGCCATGCTTGTGTGTGAATGGGAATGGTTTTCAATAGATGCAACTGAGCTTGTTCAGAAGCGCTCTCCACCCAGCAGTGTACCTGCACTATTTTGTACCAACGCACCACTGGCAGAAACCTGAGTTACAGCCATTGAGACAAACAGGTGTGTTGGTTACATTGCCATGTCTCATCACCCCTCACTCACTCATCACTGGATTGCTGAACTCATGCTCTGCCCAACCCATGCTCTGCTCTCTGCTGCACACGTGCTTGGCTGGCATGGCATGGCATGGCATGGCATGGCATGGCAGGCGCTACCGGAGGACTATCTACCCCCGGACATCCTAGAGCCGGGCATACTGGACGAGTTCTTTGACCGCATGGACGCCAACTGTGACGGGCGGCTCAGTTTCGACGAGTTCAAGGCCGCCATCCACGCCGACCACTTCCTCGTCGACGCGCTCCTGCAGCCCGCCCGCGGCGAGTCGCCCGCCGCCCGACCGCCGCCCAAAGGGGAGTCTCCACTGTTTCGCCAACACCAGTGGTGACACACGAGCATGCCGCCCTCTGCCCTCTTTCTTTACTACGCTGGAGAGCCGCTGCTGATCCCATAAAAACATCTCTCTTGAGCCAAGTGATGTGCCCACTCGGCCGCCCCTTCACTAACATTGGCATAACAACAGGCCCAACTGATGGGCTGCCAGAAACATACAGAATCAATATTGTCTTTTGAGGGCTGTTTAGAACCATTACCGTATTTCGACATTGTGGTGGTTCATGCATGGAATTTATATTGAGAAACTGTACAGTACCTATCCATTGTTGTTGTGTCCTTTTTTAGCTTATAAGGAGATCTCTGCGCTCGAGGGTGGTGGGGCATCAACACGAGGTGCATAGGAAGTTGGGTATCAGGCGAGTGTGACGGTGGGTGCCTAAGATGGGGGCAGATTGCGAGCATCAGTTGGGCGGCAGGGAGCCAGCAGCACGGAGGTGGTCCACGAACTCGTCTATGAGGTACGGCCAGGCGCCGGCCTCGTCGTACTGCTCCAACTGCGCCTGCGTCAACTGAGAGGCCCCATGCGAGGGGGAGAAGACGAGAGGGAGGGGGGTGGGGGATGGATTGCTTGAGCAGGGCGCATGTACTGGCAGGGGCACATGATGGTGGAGATGGTGCTTCCATGGCAAGGGGGGCAGTCCCCCCAACCAACCCGCATGGGTGCAGGGGCAGGAAAGGCAGGTGCCGCCAGGTGCAGAGTAGGAAGGGCAGGATAGGGCGGGTGCAGGCGGGGCAGGAGCAGGAGCAACATACCCGGGAGAACTCAAAGAGCTGCGACCAGGTGTCCTTGGATATGGCCTTGTTGTGCTGCACCTGCTCCCACCCACACACGCCATGCAATGCGTGCAGCCATGTAGCACATCCAACCACGCCATGCGTGCAGCCATGTAGCACATCCAACCACGCCATGCGTGCAGCCATGTAACACATCCAACCACGCCATGCGTGCAGCCATGTAACACATCCAACCACGCCATGCGTGCAGCCATGTAGCACATGTAGTGCCACACACCACGGCGGTGAGGTACAGATGTAACGACCACATAACACACGGGGAGATGAAAGCACGAACCACATAACACACGGGGATATGAAAGCACACACCACATAACACACGGGGATATGAAAGCACACACCACATAACACACGGGGATATGAAAGCACACAAGGGTGAAGCAGGTTCCCAGAGGCATCTTGAGGGTTCCTCAGCAACCACTGTGTTTTCAGACCGGCTCCACGCACCCTCACTACTGTTGAGGCGCCTCAAAAGGCTCCACGCACCCTCACTACTGTTGAGGCTCCAACTTGTTCACCCTCACTACTGTCCCACCTTCACCATACCATACCACTCCACCAACTTGTTCACCCTCACTACTGTCCCACCTTCACCATACCATACCACTCCACCAACTTGTTCACCCTCACTACTGTCCCACCTTCACCATACCATACCACTCCACCAACTTGTTCACCCTCACTACTGTCCCACCTTCACCATACCATACCACTCCACCAACTTGTTCACCCTCACTACTGTCCCACCTTCACCATACCATACCACTCCACCAACTTGTTCACCCTCACTACTGTCCCACCTTCACCATACCATACCACTCCACCAACTTGTTCACCCTCACTACTGTCCCACCTTCACCATACCATACCACTCCACCAACTTGTTCACCCTCACTACTGTCCCACCTTCACCATACCATACCACTCCACCAACTTGTTCACCCTCACCACCTCAGTCCAGCGCCCGCGTGTGGCTCACCCTGACGAAGTCACACCAGTGGTCGACGTGCGGCCAGCTGCGGTAGCCCAGCAGCAGCTGCCACATGCCGATGGCCGTGTCCAGCGCCAGCCACTTCTGGCCCTGTGGGGAGGGGGGGCAAAGCGATGGCGGTGACAGGAGGACAGCGTGGGTGGGTTGGAGCGCCTTGCAGGGCACTGACAGTGCTGTGTGGAGCAGTGCCATTACAATGGTCATTCCGCAGCCCACCTCCTCTCACTCAGAGTCGCATGCCACCTCTCCTCTGCACCACACCCAACCCCTCTGCTGCCACCAGTCCGCACTGCCCTCCTTTATTCTCTCTCTCGCACGCCTACCTTCTCCTTGGCCCACGCGAACGCAAAGTTGTATATTTGGCGAAACACGTCTGTGTGAGACACAGGCCACCACAGGCAAGAAGGGGGCGAGAGGAGCAAAGAATGAAAGGATAGGAATGCGATGATGTCGTTGGGTGGGGTGAGAGCGGAACTGATAGGGCAGGAAGGGCCAGAAAATAGATGTGAACGAAAAGAAGCGATGCAGAAAACACAAGTGCAACCTATAGGTCGTGCCATGCTTGCACATCTCTATCCTACGATGCCTCTTGGTCCGCTACTCACAATCTTTGCCCCACACCCCGCCCACCTCCCCACCCACCCTCTTAACTGCCCCTCACACTCATCTCCCCCCTCCTTCCCATCTCCCCTCCCTCCCATGGCTGCTCACTCTCGTCTTGCAGCTCGCGCCGGAATGATGGCAGCAGCGCCTTCAGCGCCTCCAGTGACGTCACCCTGCCACCATGGGAGGCGGGGGTGTGGATAAGGGGAGGTGGGGTAATGGGCAAAGAAAAAGGAGAGGATGAGCGGGGTTGAGAAAGGCGAGGGGCTTGTGAGGCCCAAGAGTAGACAACCTCAACTGCAGCAACATTGCAACAGAGCACAAGACAAGCGTTGGTCGGTCAGTGGCAGCATGGGAAGGGGGATTTTGTGTGGTGCATGCAAGTGAGAAGGCAAGGGGCTGACCGCAGGGAGCGCAGGCCGGAGGTGAACTCTTGGCGCGAGTACTCGCACATGGTGGCCGCACCCAGATGCCATGACAGCACCAGCTGTGGGGCATGGGACACATGGGGGGAAGGGAACACGTATGGGGCTTACAGCAGGGATGCAGTGCATGCACGTGGACAAGAAATAGCAGCCAAGAGTGCGGCATGAATCGCATGGTACAAAAAGGCAGTAGAGGTGCAGGAGAGAGAGAGAGCAGGGCATGCGCGCTCACCATAACAATGTCCTGTGGCTCCACCTGGTGCCGCCCACATGGCACGTTCAACAGGGTACCATGGTATTCGGGCGGGAACAACATGGCATGGCACAGAGGGAGAAAAGGGATTGTGAGTGGAAGAGTACGGAGGAGAGTAGAGCACGTGGCGAAGATGGAACATGGGAGAGTGAGGCGATGGAGATAATATTGTCAATGGCAATGGTGCCGGTTGGGACAGAGAAGCAGGGAGCGTGGGGTGGGAGCGAGCAGGAAGGTTGAGGAGCAGGCACGTGCAGCATAGGAGCAGGCACGTGCAGCATAGGAGCAGGCACGTGCAGCATGAGCGCACCTCGAGGTCTTCACACATGCGCGAGATGCCGTCCACGAGAATCATATCTGAATCCGGATCTGATGCAGCACACGGAGCAGGGCGAGTGGGACAGGGCACCAGCAGCACACTAACCAGGTTTTAGCTTGCATTGCAATACCGGCACGGCATAAACAGCAGTTTTGATTTAAATATGTCAGCAGCACGCACCTTTGTAGCGCAGGAAGAGCTCTTGTATGGGATCCACTGGTGGCTGCTGGGGCGGCATGGCATGCCCCCCTTGCTGCTGGTGGTGGTAGTGCGAGCGCCCCGTGAAGGCTGCCAGGAAGCCCCCTCCGCCCCGCGCGGCCATGGGCGCCCCCCCCGCCTGGTAGCGCGCCAGTGCTGGCGCCACCTCCCACTCGCTGCCCTGCAGCGCTGCCACCGCATCGCGCTCACTGCCGTGTGCACGCAAGCAGGCGCGCATGGGACGGGATGAGACGTTGAGTTGAAAAGGAGCTGATGAGGATTCATGGCATGTGTGGCATGAGTGGCATGGGTGGCATGGATGGCATGGATGGCATGTGTGGCATGGCATGGGTGGCATGCGTGGGTGGTAAAAATGCAAGGCCTTGCTGGCTCTAACATGGCTACATACATGTGCTCTCTGCCTACCTGCTCGCCTGCTAGGCGGCACATGGAACGGCCATTCCCTTCTACACCGTCCGCCCTGCATTCCCCACGCACACGCCCCACCTTGCCCCCGTGCGCCCCAGTGCGCCCCACCTTGCCCCCGTGCGCCCCACTTTGCCCCCGTGCGCCCCACCTTGCCCCCGTGCGCCCCACCTTGCCCCCGTGCGCCCCACCTTGCCCCAGTGCTGCTCACGAACTGCTTCACGCGCTCCTTCTGCTGCCGCGTCAGCCGGCTCTGCTGCCACCCCGCACACACATTGATCACGGCACGTGGGCATGGGGCATGGAGACATGGGGCATGGGGACATGGGCATGGGGTATGTAGAGAAGGGGGGCAGAGAGAGGGAAGGAGAAAGCGCGGGAATGGGGGGATACATTACGGATGGGAGAAGCGGGGGGTGAGAGGAAGCGGAGGCACACTGGAAGGACGAGACCGTTGCGCATCTAGTCAATGCGGCTGCCACGTGGATCAGCGCCTGACGGGGCACGTGCAATCCGAGTGGGAAGCGCGTGTTCTCATCTCAGATCAACTCATCTTCCCCACCCGTCGCTCATACCCTCGTAACCTGTTGCACGCCCCCACGCGCCTCACCACATCGTCGTTCTTCCGCGATCTGAACATCCCCGCGCCTCCTACCCCTCTCTGCGCCTCTGCTCCTCGCCCTTTCGCCCTTTTGCCTCCGCCCTTACGTCCGCCCTAACCAGTCCTCCGCGCGTCTCCTTCTCGCGCCTCTACGCCTTCCCCCGCTCCTCTCCGCCAGGCTCAGCGCGCTGCGACCGTCACTTCCTAGAGTACGACGCGCCTCCCTCGCGTACTGCGGCTCGGGACGCCCGGCAACAACGGCTGCCTGCGCCGCGCTGTGAGTCCGTCGGCGGCCCGCCTCGCGTGTTCGCAACCGTTGCACCTCCCGTTGAGGACTCGACTGTCGAGTGACGAGTGACGACTGGAACTAACGTCTGACGGCTGACGGCTAACAGAAGATTGGCGGTTGCGATTGTGCGAGTGGGAAGTGTGAAGATGGAGGCGTGTGGGTTGAGGAGGTTCGGTGCACGACTTGGGCCTCGTAGCGGACAATATGGCGTACAAACCGACTTCCGTGACAAATGGACCTCGCTGGTGGCAGGGTCGTGGAGGAAATGGCACGATGGCCTTGCTACTGGCGAGATGGTTAAACGAAAATAGCGAGCGGTCCAGTAACAGGCCAACACTATGTTTCAACTGTACCACACTTACCGAATCAAACCGAGCATCACCTTCCCCTCAGTTGAACCTGAACTACATTGAATGGTCCAAACAGAACCCAGTCAGACCAGGGAAATTGCGATGCTCCTTCCCGTCCTGGATGTTCGGACCCACCTTGGTCCGACCAAGTCTTGCCTCTCCGCATAAAAAACAGCACCACGGTCCGACCGTGCTTCCAACAGAGGTCATTTGCCGCCTAGCCGCTAGCGATCACCGCTCTGCTCCGCCGCCGCCTTCCCCCTCGCCTAGCCATGGGGGCGCTGGGCCGCCTGCATGCCGTCCCCCGCCCGGGGCCCGCGCTCTCCCCCGCGCGTCCGCCCCGATTCCGCCCGTGCTGCCATCGACCCCGCGCCTCCCCCATCTTGCGCCACTCCCCGTCGCTGCCCGCCCTCTCCGCATCCCCTCGCCGCTCTCCGCCTGGTGCTGCCATCGGCGCGATTCAGCGGGGAAATGGAGCAGCGCAGGGCCGCGTGGGGTTGCGCAGCGGAGAAGCAGCGAGGGCGGAGAGGCAATCGGAGAGAGTGGTTGATTACAACGACGGGATCCGGAACAGACTAATGCGCCGCAAGGGCGGGAGAAGTCAGAGAGATGGCGACGAGAGGACTGGGCAGATGGCGACCGACAGTGTGGTGCAGAGGGGTGACAATGCGGTGCAGACGCCATTGTACAGCCAGCAGCCAGTCCAGCCGCCCTCAGAACCCACCGCCTCCGGCTCCTCGCCCCCATCGCCATCTCTCGCGCACCGCCTGCTCTCCCGGCGAAGAGCAGCGCAGGTGCAAGGCGAGGGGCGGGGGAAGGGCGCAGCGGGAGTGGGGAGCCGCACGAGTGGCGAAGGCAGCAGCAGCGTGGGCGAAGCGGACAGAGGCACCGGTGAGCCGCCGCAGTCGCAACGGCCGGCAGTATTGCCGTCGCCATTACAGTCACCGTCACTGCTGACATCGGCACCAGGGGGAGCAGCAGCGCTGAACCGACGGCTCGTGGAGGCCACGTGCCTCGCTGACGTCATGCGGGTGGTGGCGAATGAGATGGCTCGCCTGCCCCCGCGGCCTGAGTGGCACGTGGGGGGCGCAGGTGCAACAGCCAGGGGCGCAGGGGTGGGTGATGGGGTGGGGCCTAACAGCTCTTGGGGTAGCGGCAAGGTGCGTGGTAATGGGAAGGGCGGGAGGAGGAGCAGGGAAGAGGAGGAGGCAGAGGAGGAGGAGATGGAGAAGGAGAGGAGGGAGATGGAGAGAAGGTGGGAGGAGGCAGCAGCGTGCTCCCTCTTCTCGCCAATCAACGCAGTCACCGCTCTGCACCGCATTGCACGTCACATGCAAGCGGAGGGCATGCCCCCGCCGTCCCGGCTGGCCCTAGCCCGCACGCCTCCCCTGCGCCTGCTTGTTGCTGCCGCCCTCCCTGCTGTGCGTGCCGCCCGCTGCAATGCACAGACCCTCTCCAACCTCGTGTGGGCGCTCGCGCGCATTGGGGGAGCGGGAGGAGGGGCGGGAGACATGGTTGCGGGGCGGGGTGCGGAGGTGGGAGCGGGTGGGCAGAGGGGTGGAGGACAGCGCACATGGGTGTATTCGGAGGAGTTGGATGCGGTGGCAGCAGCAGTGCTGCCCATACAGCACACCCTGGCCCCACAGCACATTGCAAACATCGCAGCTGCCTTTGCCCTCGCTCGCCACCTCCCCCCACCCGCTCTCCTCCCCACCCTCGCCCGCCAAGCCTGCTTCGCGCTCCCCCCGCTCTCCCCCTCCTTCCCAACCACCCCCGCCCACCCCAGCGGCCGCGCTGTGCTGTCCCCCCACGAGCTCTCGCAGCTGCTGTGGGCCTTCGCCTGCCTGCACCACGCGCTGCCCCCCGCCCTCTCCCGCGCCCTCAACCGTGCAGCTGCCACTTTCTCCCCCTCCTCCCTCCCCCACACCTCCCAGCCACCCCCCAACCAGCTGCACATGACCGCCTTCTCTCCCCCCCCGCCCTGCCCGCTGGCGTGCCTGCGAGCGTGGTCGCCCCAGCACGTGGCGAACAGTGTGTGGGCGCTGGCTGTGCTGCAGCACACCCACGGGGCGCTCTTCCACGCGCTCTGGGGAGAGGTGCTCCGCCGCCAAAGGCAGTTCTGTGGAGAGGAGCAGGAGGGGGAGGCGGAGGGGGAGGGGTCGGAAGGGGAGCAGAGGGCTAGAGTGGGGGAGCGGCATCTGAGTCAGCTGTTTCAGGTGGCGGTGACTCTCAGGGCGGAGGGGGCAGGGGGTGCAGTGGAAAGGGGAAGAAATGGGCAGGGGGAGGAGGGCGAGCAGGCGTGTGGTGGGGGGAGTGGAGGGGTGAGAAGAGGGCAAGAGGTGGGTGACGGGGGGGCGGGAAGGGGAGAGGGAAGAGACGAGGAGGGGGCAGATTGGGTGTGGGAGGAGGGGGCGCGTGTGTGGCGGGCAGAGGCGGCGAGGGAGAAGGTGAAACCGTGCAGCCACTGGGAGGTGGAGCAGGCCCTCTCCGCCCTGGGGCTCGTGGCCTGGCGGGGGGACGAGTGGGAAGGGGGAGGAGGGGAGAGAGAGCAGGGTGACGAGGGAAAGGAGGGAGAAGATGGAAGCGAGGGAGGGGAGGGATGCTCGGGGGGCATGGGGTGGGTATCGGAGTACACATCGTCATGCGTGTGGCACTACTCCATTGACATTGCTCTGCCAGGGCGCCGCATCGCACTGGAGGTGGACGGACCCTCACACTTCACCCGTAACACTCGTGCGCGCTGCCTTCCGCATCTCCTCCCCTTGCTTCATCCCCCCGCATGCCGCTTTCACTGCCGTGCCCTCAACCTTCCATTGTTGCGCTTCGCTCGCTGCCTGCCGTCCTTTCCCTGTCATCCTTACTCCGCCCTCCGCACGAATCCCACATCCACCTGCTGTGGCAGTGACTCCACTGGGAGCAACGGCGCTCAAGAGGCGACATCTGGAGGCGGCTGGATGGACGGTCATCTCCATCCCCTTCTACCATGTACGCCCCTCCATCCCACTAACTCATGGTCTCTATCCGCATTTCCTCGTACCAACCAGCTACTGCACCTCTTTTCATCCGCTACCATACTTCTCCACACTACACATCTCAGCTTTACATTCCAGTGGCTCCCTGCCCTGCCTCTCTGCGGTGCTGTGCGCTGCAGTGGAACCATCTGGAAGGTGAAGTACAGCAGCAAGACTACCTGGAGCGAGCTCTTGGCATATCAATAACTTGACTCTGTGACTGACGTGTACACTCATCCCTGTTCATAAGTTCCATAAGTATTTATTTCATTATACCGAAGCAGAGAGCAGCAGGCACTAAACTCATACGACCGTTGCACCACTGCAGTGAATCTAGTCCAGCCAATTAAAGCATTGCAGTCTGCAGCAGCCTCTACCAAGCAGCATTGACCAGCATAAAGCAGCGAGCATGAGCACAGCGAGCATCAGCGGAGCGCAAGAGTGCCGGAGAAGACGAGGTCAGCGGGGCCGGTCATGTGCACGCGGTTGTCCTCCTCCCTCCAATCTATCTCCAACGGACCCCCCGGCAGATGCACCAGGCAGTTCTGCGAGAGAAGGGGGTTGAGGGAGAGAGACACAGGGTGGATGGATGCACGCAGGGGATGGATGCACGCAGGGGATGGATGCACGCAGGTGATGGATGCACGCAGGTGATGGATGCACGCAGGTGATGGATGCACGCAGGTGATGGATGCACGCAGGGGATGGATGCACGCAGGTGATGGATGCACGCAGGGGATGGATGCACGCAGGTGATGGATGCACGCAGGGGATGGATGCACGCAGGTGATGGATGCACGCAGGTGATGGATGCACGCAGGGGATGGATGCACGCAGGTGATGGATGCACGCAGGTGATGGATGCACGCAGGTGACACATGGCATGAGAGGCAAGGCATGGTGGAGGGAGAAACATGAGACAAGTGTTACAAATCGAAACCAGCTTGCTGTGTGCCCCTCCACCCCTCATAGCCTCGCTCTTCCCACCCAAGCTGCTCCAATCACTCTCCGAGTTCCCTCAGTCACTCACCCAACCTCACACACTCCCTCCCTCATCCGTGACTCACCCGCTCGGCACGGCCCTCCAGCACAGCCGCCACAACAAGGGCACACGTGCCCGTGCCACATGCCAGCGTGGGACCTGTGGGGGGCAGGGCGGGTGGGTGGGAGAGAAGACACACAGGACAATGACGGGGGAGGGTGGCACAGGCTGGGATGACAGCGCAAGCAGTATGGTGGTACCGGCAAGGCAGTTGCCGTTGCAGCGGCAGCAGCAGTGGAGTGCAGGGATGTGAGGGCAGGAAAAGTATGGGTGAGGGTAAGAGGTTCACCTGCCCCGCGCTCCCACACTCGCATGTGCAGCTCGTTGCGGGAGATCACCTCCACAAACTCTGATGCGCGTGCATGGGCCATGGGGTTGGTGGAAGAGAGGATGGGAGCAGGGGATGGGGGATGGATGGGGGGGAACAGAGGATGGGGGATGGGTGGGGAAGTGGGGATGGGGGATTGAAACACAATGATATGATGCCATATGGCAGTACATGACGAGGAAGGAAACGATTGAGGTGCGAGAGATGCAGGGGCATACAGGGGCACACAGGGGCGCGAGAGAGGTGCAGGGAGCAGGAAGAAGAGGGAGAAGAAGAGGAAGAGCGAGAATGAGCTGACCTGTGTTGGTGCGAGCAGGGAAGGCGGGGTGGTGCTCAAACATGGGTCCAATGCGGTGCAGGTCGATGCCTGCCACGTCCAGGCCCTGGGGGTGGTGCGATGAATGCACACATGCCACACACGCAGGGGCAGTGCCGGTGGCAGTAGGTGGTGGGATGGGGGCTGTGTGACCTGACCGTCAGTCAGCACACCACGAGAATAAGAAATCCGGAACAGGACATGCTAGTGGCAGGGAGCGCGGGGCACACCTGAGGGCTGTGTGAGTTGGAGAAGGTGATGCAGTGCGGGTTGCCCATGCTGACACAGGTCACCTGCCACGTCACCCCGTCCACCTGCAGCGGCGCTTTCACCACGGCGCCGTCAGCGGTGGTGGCGGGCAGCGTGGTGGGGATGAGCGCCGCGGACAGGATGGGCTCGCCCATGTCCACCCGCACCTGGGGCGCGTGGGAGGAGGGGAAAAAGGGAAGAGGGGGAGGAGGGGATGGGGGGATGAGTGGCAGAGAAGAGGAGGGAGACATGTGTGAGAAGGGATGGGGGTGGGAGGAGGGAGTGAGGCGTGAGTGAGGTTGGAGGAGTGCGAACAGGCGTGCGGCGAATGAGAGAAGAGCAGCCAGCAGCGGTGCAGCAAAGCCCCTTGGTTGAAGCAGCCCCACCCCACCTGGCCATCGGCGCGCATGTGCGCCTGCATGACGCCCGCCAGTGTGGATATCGATATGCTGTGGGGTGAGGTGCAGGGATTGGGGTGTGCGGGGTGGGGGGGTGGGAGGGTGGGGAGTGGAGGGAATGAGAAAGAGAACTGAGAGGGCGAGAAGAGGCGAAGGCGGGAAAGGTGTATGGAGCGAGTGAGAGAGAGCGAGGGGAAGGGAGAGGGGCATACGTTTGGGTGTCGTGTGAGTTGGTGACGTCAGCAATGAACTTGGCCAGACAGCGAATGCCGTTGCCACACATCTGCCATGCCATGTGGCGTGCAGAGGGGCACGCAGGGGAGGATGCAGGGGGGCACGCAGGCATCAAGCAGATGCTGCTGACAGCACGTGCAGAGTCCTTGTTTCACTCTCCGGAAAGCAATGTGCGTGCAGCTAGAAAGCAGCACGCTGAATCCACGCGCCTTGACCATCAATGTACTATCCCTTGCACACTTTGCCCCCTGTCATCGCCTCGCGCTCACACCACCCTGCACTGCACACATTGGGCTCGGATTTTCCTGCACTGCATTGCACCGCGCTGCACCGCACTGCACACCTCGGGCTCACTGCCATCGCTGTTGAAGATGCGCATGGTGTAGTCGGCGCCCGCCTGCCCCGGCAGCAGGAAGATCACCCCGTCGCCGCCCACCCCGAAGTTGCGGTCGCACAGCCGCGCCGCCTGCTCCTGCGACACCACCGGCTCCGATGAATGCCGGTTGTCCACCTGGCGGACCGGGCAGCCATGCAGAGGGGGTTGTGTCGGTGTGAGCGACGGCGCATAGGACGAATGGCAACAGCCGCAGCAGAATCAGGAGTGGAACGTGGCAGAAGAAGCGGCAATAGCAGGAGCAGCGACGAGAGGGGTGTGAGGAGGCACGCAGGCGGGCAGGGAGGGAGCGAGGCGGCTCACGAGGATGAAGTCGTTGCCGATGCCCTGGTACTTGCTGAACCGCAGCTCGCCACTGCCTGACGCCGATCCCGCTGCCGCCTGCCATGGTTCATACCACACCACGCCGAGCCGTGCCGTGCCATGCCATGCGGGGCCATGGCGACACGCCACGTCATTCCACGACATGTCATGCAATGAGACGAGAGCGCATTGCTTGAGGGCAACTGCTCGACGCGTTGACGCGCCTTTTTCTAATCAAACGCTTGTTTCCTTTCAGCAACTAGAACTTCCCGATCGGATCAAATCATTTGCTGTGATCTCCCGAGGCTGCTCAGATCCTCATCTCACCATCGCTATCCGCGCTCTCGATCGGACGGTCGTCGCGCGCAGAGCTCCGTTACTCGGAGAAGCGATCCGTCTCAGGCCAGTCAGACAAGTCGCGTTTCGCGCCGCCACGTGGGAGGTTCGTAACGGCTGGTTGGTGCTGGCTTTGGGCGCCTCGGCGTGGATCGCGAGGCACGATCCCGCAATGCGGCCGACTGCGCACGTTGCCGTCATGTCCGCAAGTGGTGCTGCCGCGCGACGCGCGTGACACGGCAGATGGTAAGTTTCTCAAGGTCGATAATAACGCAGATATTGCGAGGTGGATGCTTGCACTCGCACAACGAACTGCACTTCGCTCAGCGCCGCGCCTCAAATATTGGAGCTGAGGGAACTGGGGGTTGCTGAACGTGGATTCGAAGAAAACAGCTTCGCTACATATTATCGCCAACTCATATGAACCAATGCTCTCCTTGACGACCTCTGGCGAAATAATGTAACTCGCCAAAATGTCCAGCGAATGCTCTCGCCCTCGCCAAACTTTGAAACGCATTTGCAACGATCTGCCAAGTGAAGGCACCAGAGCAGATCTGCCACAAGTCAGTGGAGTTGGCCTCAAAATAGAAGAGTCCAGATCAGCGCGAGGCCAGTCGCCATGGCGCACGACGGCAATGCGACGCCTGGCGACGAGGGCGAATTCGAGGGCGACAGCTGCGAGTTGTCGTTCCTCGAGGAGGCGAGCGAGCTGCAGCGCCTCGTCGCCATACTCGTGCCCTCCGCGCAGTCCGATCGGTCTGGATCGGTGCAATGCGGTGTGTCGAATTTCGGAATCGCAGAGGCGGATGAGGATGCGCAACGAAGGCGCGCGGTGGAAGACGGGGAGATGCGCGACGACCCGCGGGCAGCAGTGCTGCTCCGCTTCGAAACCATCGTACGCCTCGCGCTCGCCGCTCGTAGCCCGTCGCTCGTAGCCCGTCGCGCGTAACCCGTCGCTCGTACCTCATACGCCTAGATTCATGTATCGGGATGAGAATACAGCCTTGCGCTGGCCGCAGCTTCATGCGCGCCACCCGCTTATGCATCCCTCCCCTGGTCACACAATTTTCCCGCCCCGTCACCCCCCCGTCCACGTGGCAGTGCGCCAAGTACCGCGAGCAGCCGGAGCTGCTGGACCCGCACCTCTCCGCGCTGCTCTCCCCCGCCATGGCCTGCCTCTCCGCGCACGCGCTCGCTGCCGCGGCCGCGCTGCCCTCCGCGCTTGCGGGAGGCTCCGCGGGGTCGGGGGAACTCGAGCGGGCGATGGGGGAGGCGGAGGCGCAGCGGATGGTGCGGGAAGTGGCGGGGGCGGCGTGCGTGGTGCAGGTGGTGGCGTACGTGCGCGGCGCCAAGGTCGTCTGTCGCTTCTTCCCCAACGCGCCCTCCCACCTCGAACCCGCGCTCGCGCTGCTGCTGCTCGTGCTCCGCCTCTCGCCCGCGCCGCCCAAGGTAGCGCTGCAGGGATGCAGTGGTGGGGGAGCGCGGATGCAATGGTGGGATGCAGTGGTGGGATGCGGTGGTGGTGGGATGCGGTGATGGTGGGATGCGGTGGTGGGATGCGGTGGTGGGATGCGGTGGTGGTGGGATGCGGTGGTGGGATGTGGTGATGGTGGGATGCGGTGGTGGTGGGATGCGGTGATGGTGGGATGCGGTGGTGGGATGCGGTGGTGGTGGGATGCGGTGGTGGGATGCGGTGATGGTGGGATGCGGTGGTGGTGGGATGCGGTGATGGTGGGATGCGGTGGTGGGGCAGGAGGGATGAATCGAGATAAGTGAGTTGTTGGAGTACCATTCACACGCCACACGCTGCACTCACAGGCCCTCACGCCTTCCGTACATCACTGCATTTGCTCATCCGTCCGCCCCTGTGTCTGCCCCTTCTTTCCAACCCCTCTTCCCCTTTCTCCCTATGCAAATGGCGCGCGGGGGAGAAGGCGGGGTCGGAGGTGGGGGTGGCGGTGGAGGCGGCGGAGCAGTGGCGCGTGCACTATGCGCTGCTCTCGTGGCTCTCGCACCTGCTGCTGCTGCCCTTCTCCCTCCCCTCCCTCGACTCCAACCTCTTCGCCCCCCAACCCCCCGCCTCCCTGCAACCCTCCTCCCTCGAACACTCCTCCCAACCGCTACCAGCAGCAGCAGTGTCAGCACCCGTGGCGTCCCATGTGCTCCACCGCCTCCTACCACTCCCCACCGCTGCATGGGAAGGGAGGTTGTCAGAAGCATGGTCACTGCCCGACGTGCTGCTGCGAGCGTGCCTCACCTTCCTGCCCAACGGCCGCCTGCCCGTCCCCCTCATGCTCGCCCGCCTCCTCTCCCGCCCCGAAATGCACTCCCCCCTCGCCTGGTAGGCCAAGCACCCGCCTGCTACGCCATGCACGTTCCTGGTATACCATGCGGTCTCCACCTTTCGTCATTCTTCCACACGCCTTTCGCCCATCTCCCCCATACGCCATCCACCCCCTCCCTCTACAACCAGATCCATCCCCGTGCTATCCCGCACATGTGCGCCCTTGCACCTTCCTTGCCACATCCCCCCACGTGCATGCTCTCTCACTCCCAGGTTCATGGAAGAGAGTCGCCGCCTTGTGGCCTCGCTCTCTGCCGCCCTGCCCTCGCCAGCCGCTCTTCCGGACGGCCCGCCAGGCAGGGGAGAGGGAGCAGCAGTGGTGGTAGTGGAGGAGGGGAAGGGGCGGGCACCACTGTCGGAGGAGCTGCTGGCCCCTGTCATCCTCACCCTCGCCGCCATCTTCAAGGTGCCTCCGCAGCTGTGTTACTGTCTGTTGCCCGCTGTCTGATGCTGCCTGCCATTTGCTGCCTGTCGCCACATGGACTCGTCACTCGTCCCCACGGCTTTCCTCAGCCCCCATTCCCCCATCCTGCTACCCATCCTCCCGTCCACCTACACTCACCATCGTCTCTTGCCCTGTTGCCCTTCCCCTTCTCCCCTTCCCTTCCCCCCCCCCCCCCTGTGAGCGTGCAGACAGCCCCACGTGCAGAGCTCACTCACCACACACACCCAGTGTGGGCCACCATCCTCCTGCCCCTCCTCCACTCCACCTCGCCTTCCAACCTTCCCCACTCCGCGGGCTCCTCTCCCCACCCCATGTGCGCGCGTCCTGTCTCACTGCTGCTCCCCCTGGCCCTCGTGAAGCTGCTCCATCGCCTCGCCCTCTCCCTTCTGCCGCCCCGCCAGCCCTCCTGGCGCTACCAGGTACGGCAGTGCGCCCTCCTGGCGCTACCAGGTACGGCAGCTCAAGCCCTCAACTCCACATGCCCTTGCCTTAGCTTGTTTTCTACGGCAGCACGACCACTTGGCTGTCTCGTACAACAGCAGCACCCCGCATGCCCTTGCTTGCACAATCATACCTTCGTTCTTTTCCAAAGCAGAGCTCATCTGTTCGTTTTCTTCCCACCCCACCCTCTCACCCCCCCCTCTGCCCCTCGCAGCGCAGCATCCATCGGGTGGACGCCCCCCCCTCTGCAGCCCCCCCCGCGCCCTTGCCATCGCCAGCAGCAGGAGGTGCTGGGCCGGGTGCGGAACAGGGGGTGGCGGCAAGTGCGGAAGGAGTGGGAGGGGCGGAGGAGAGAGAGCTGGGGCGGAGAGAGGGGGAGGGGGAGGGGGAGGAAGAGGGGGAGGAGGAAGAGGAAGAGGAGGTGGCGGAGCTGGTGGAGGAGGCGGTGGGGGAGCTGCTGCCCATGCTCAAACACGAGGTGCGTGTACGAGAGTGATAGCAGCAGGTGAGTGTGGCAGCAGCACGCATCAATACAATTGTGCTCCTACGATAACTTGAGCCTCCGCCCTCACCTCCCCACTCACCCTTCCCCCCGTCCCCGTCCTCCCAACTGCCAGTCAACGGATGTGCGGTGGGCGGCAGCGCGCGGCCTGTCGCGGGTGGTGGGTGGCTTGCCAGCAGGCATGGCGGACGAAGTGGTGGCGGCCGTCATTGCCTTGGTGGACCCGCACGAGGTGAGGGCATTGTTACAATGCACCCGCACGAGGTGAGGGTATTGTTACAATGCACCCGCACGAGGTGAGGGTATTGTTACAATGCACCCGCACGGGGTGAGGGTGTTGTTACAATGCACCCGCACGGGGTGAGGGTGTTGTTACAATGCACCCGCACGGGGTGAGGGTGTTGTTACAATGCACCCGCACGGGGTGAGGGTATTTTCCAGGTGCAACCGCAGGAGATGAAGTCACAATGCCCATGCGTTTGTGCTCGCGTCCCCTGCTCGTCTCCTCCGATCGCTTCAGCTTGGATCTTTTCCGACCTGTTCTGCCCTCAATGGCCACATTGCGACTCCCATCAATCTCATTCTCACTGTTGTGGAAGCAAGAATGTCCCAGTGGGTACCTTTGGTCTTAGTGGTCGCGGGTTCAACTCTCATCGGCAGCACCTTCTCTTCTCATTATGCCGAACATGACACTCCCACACTCCACCACACTCACCCACAGTGAAGTGTGGTCACAGTTGGCATTGCCATCTGTCCACCCATCCCATACTCACCTTGTTGGCTCCTATGGTGTGCCACATGCTGCCATGTAGGCTGTTGTTCCAGCCTGGCCCACATGTGCAACATGTGGCCTCAATTGCTAGCTTGGCAAGGTTGGCTAGCCCTGCCCTCAGCTTTGAGGTGCTGCAGCTAGCCTCAAGAGTTCAGCCACATAAATGTGGCTTCCCACTTCTCTAGAACTCATCCTTGGAAAGGACATTGCTCTAGCCTTTCAGGCTTGTACCATCTTCCTACTAAGGATATATTGTTCTTCTCTCATTGTGCCTCAAGTTCACCGATCCTCATTCTACATGGTATCAGAGCAAGGCTTCTAGCTTAGTGAACGTTGCACACTTCATGGCTCAAGTTGAAACGCCTCTCGGTCGGCACACCCTTCCCATCTTGGAACCAGATGGTTCCAACTTCATTCCATGGAAGAAAAAAATCTGCTACATCTTCAATGTCCTCGGGCTGATCTCCCTCCTTGGAGATCCCAAGGTTGCTTCGCGTCCTTCAATCTCCTCTTCCACAACCAGCGGTGGAGAGACTACCGAAGGCAACAGCGGTGCAGCCCCTAAGACAGCCCATTCGATTGCTTCGCTGCCGGATGAAGAAAAAGAGGAGCATGCATACTATCTTCTCATGTCAGCCGTCCATCCTCAACTATCGTTCACTCTTGCTCAAGCCAACACGACAAAGGATATGTGGGGATGCATCATGGCGCGGTTCGACTGCATGGGCAACCATGCACAAGTGGCTCTCCTCCGGGATCTCATCACTACACGGATGGACCCAACAACAAGTCTTCGCTCCTACTTTGATCGAGTTGGAAACCTTACACACCAACTCAAATCTGCCGGCTTTGAGCTACCATCATGGGTGGTGGTAATCTCCATCATCCTCAACCTTCCGGACTCGTTCAAGACCCTTACTGAAACCATTTGCACCGTGAAAGACATAAAGTCTATGACGGTTGAATACCTACAGTCACGCCTACTCGATGCCGATTGGGAGCGGTCACAATCTGGTACAAGCCGTAACATGGAGGGTGCATACAACCTCAATTCCCAGCCCTCCCACCCTCTTCGCTCCGGTTCACGCCAGTCGCCCACCTGCCGTTACTGCAAGAAAACGGGTCACACCATCGATGAATGCTTCAAATTGAAGAAGAAGAAAGAGCTTGAAGAAAGCTCTAAACGGGAGAAATCCGTCTTCCAACCCTCGGTGCATGTCTCCACCAGCTCCTCTGCTGAAGCTACTCCGACCCCCACACCCCCTCCTGCCCCATCAACCCCTCAGTCCGTACCTGATTCCCGGTACGTGGACATTGCTGTCAGCACCAGCCACCACCCCATCTTCTCCACATGGACTCCTCTCGTCGCTGCTGTCTTCATTCTCACCATCCTCCTTCTCCTCCTCCTCTTCCCTTATGGGGCTCCCTACGCATCGGCATTCACGGCCTCCTCATTCAATATGGAGCGGACTTCGTCGTGGCTGGTGGACAGCGGCGCATCCTCCCATATCTGCTCGGATCGTTCGCTGTTTTCGTCTCTCAAGAAGCTCAACGAAGAGATCCTTGTTCGCTTTGGTGGAGGAGAGACTTACAAGGTCTTGGGAGTCGGCACGGTGGTGGCTACTCTTCGGTCACCAACATCGGAAACCACCATTCAGCTTGACAACGTTCTATTTCTCCCTTCATCAGTTCACAAGCTGCTCTCTGTTCGTGCGCTTGGTGCTGCCGGCGTTGCCGTCTCGTTCCCCGCTGCTGGGCGCGTTGTTCTCACATCTGATGACGTTCCTATTGGCGAGGGCTACACCCGCAACAATCTGTTTTATCTTCAACTGCATCATGGGAGCAGTGCTGCTCCTTCTATCAAGCCAACTGCATGTCCAGCCTCCACCACCACCTCCTCGTACCTCTGGCATCGTCGTTTCGGGCATCTCAACATGCAGGCCTTGTCAACACTTCATCGGCAGCAGCTGGTCACCGGTCTTCACCTCTCCTCCACCTCGATTCCCCCCTGCATCTCGTGCTATCGTGGGAAACAAACACGTCAGCCATTTGGCGTGTCCCATTCTCGCACCACAGCCCCACTCCAACTCATTCACTCAGATATTGCTGGACCGCTTTCATATGGAACTACCATTGGCGGCGCTCGCTACCTTCTCACCTTCATTGACGACTACTCCCGCCACATTACAGTGTATCTCCTACGCCACCGGTCGGAGGCACTTTCATGCTTCAAGGCTTACGTCACTCGGGTGCACAACATGCATTCCCCACACACCATCAAAACCTTTCGCTCTAACGGTGCCTTGGAGTTCACTTCCAAAGCCTTCACTTCATTCCTTACAGCTCATGGCATCGCCCGCCACCTCTCCACGCCATACACACCTGAGCAAAATGGAGTAGCTGAGTGGGCCAACCGGACTTTACTTGAGATGGTCCGTTCCATGCTCCATGATGCACACATGGACAAAGGCTGGTGGGGTGAAGCCGCTCTTACTGCTGCCTATCTTCGTAATCATGCCATTAGTCGGGGTGGTTCAACTTCTAAGACTCCCATGGAACTATGGACCGGTGCACGTCCGGATGTATCACACCTCCGCATCTTCGGTTCACCCGTCTCGGTCCTCATTCCTTCCCAACGGCGTTCTAAGCTCGACGACCGAAGCACGGCCGGCATCATGGTTGGATATGGTCATCTCGACGGCACCAAAGCTTACCGCATCTATATCCCATCTCAGCACCGTGTCATCCTTTCTCGTGATGTCATCTTCATGGAGCCCTCTGCACCGCCTTCCGACGACTCTCGCGACCCTCCATCGTCATCTCCACCCACATCCTCCTCACTACCTCCTCCTACACACCCTTCTTCCTTGGACCCAATCTCCCCTCCCTCTCCTTCCCCCACCATACCTTCCTCCACCAACCCCCACCCACAATCCCCAAACCTGCCCGCACCAGCCACATCTTCTCCTCCTCCATTGTTTTCCAACCTTCCTCTGCCCTCGACGCCGCAAGACTTTCACCTTCCATCCTTCTCTCCTCCCTCTTCGCCTCCCCCTCCCCATTGCACGACTCGCTCCTCCCCGCCATCCCCTTCAGCTCTTCCCGATCCTTCCCTTTTCTCCTTCCTCAAGGTCTTACCATCCCCTTCCGAACCCATTGACTTCACTCTTCCTCCTCTTTCCAACACCTCTGCCAATGCTGCCCTTCACCATCATTACGAACCTCAAACCATTCATGAGGCTCGTACCGGCCCTGATGCTGCCGAATGGATCAAGGCTTCTGATGCGGAACTCGCTGCCCTGCACGCTAATGACACCTACAGCATTGTTCCTCGACCACCCAATTGCAAGCCGATTCCATGCAAATGGATTTTCAAGGTCAAGGAGAACGCTGATGGTTCTATTGAACGCCGCAAAGCCCGCCTTGTTGTCAAACGCTTCAAGCATCGTGATGGTGTTGATTTTCATGACACCTTTGCTCCTACCGTCCGCTTCGCCACCCTCCGCTTGTTTCTCACCATAGCTGCCGCTTTCAACCTGGACGTCCATCAGCTGGACATCTCCAACGCCTTCCTCAACGGCACCCTTGATGAGATTCTCTACATGATGCAGCCTCCCGGTTATGACCTTCCGGCGGTCCATGGTGTTGAGCAAGTTTGTCTCTTGCACAAACCGCTGTACGGGTTGAAGCAAGCTCCGCGATGCTGGTACCGCAAGCTTCGTGAGGAGCTTGCTGCCTTTCACCTCTTTGCTGCTCGTGCGGACCCCGGCCTCTTCATTGCTCCTCCTCACTCACCTTATCGGCCTACAGCTGCATCCTTCTTCATGCTTCTCGTCTATGTTGACGACCTCATCATTCTCTCCTCCTCCTCCTCTCTTCTTGCCTCATTCAAGCATGCCCTTTCATCTCGCTTCAAACTTCGTGACCTCGGACCTCTCTCCTACTACCTTGGCTTTCACATCACTCGTGATCGAACTTCCCGCACTCTCCACCTTCATCAATCCAAATTCATCACCTCCATTCTAGACACCTACTCCTTCTCTCCACTGAACCCCGCTGCCACTCCCATGGACACAAAGTTTCAGCCACCCGTGACTTCCTCCCCGCACTCCTCCTCCTTCCCTTACACCTCGTTTGTCGGCTCCATCATGTATGCCATGGTGGGGACCCGTCCCGACCTCGCATATAGCGCTGGAGTTCTTGCTCGTCACCTTCACGATTGGTCTACTCCTCACGTCTCGGCTGCCAAACGCATTGCTCGCTACTTGAAAGGGACTACCTCCCTTGGGCTTCTCCTTGGTGGCATTCCCGACACCCTCGAACTTCATGGCTGGTGTGACGCCTCTTGGGGACCGGAGGGGGAGCTGCGTCGCTCCGTTACGTGCTACTTGTTCTTCCTCGGTCCGTCACTCATCTCTTGGCAGTCCAAACGCCAAGCCGTCGTTGCTACCTCTTCATGTGAAGCTGAATATTACTCTCTGGGCGCCGCGGTGCACGAGGCATTATGGCTTCGTTCGCTCCTTACTGCAGTTGGACTTCCCCCTACCGGCCCCACCCGTATCTCGTGTGACAACAACAGTGCCATCATTCTCGCCAAGGACGATGGCGTCTTTCATCCCAAGGCCAAGCACATCGACATCAAGCACCATTTCATTCGCGATCATGTTGCCGACCACTCCATCACCCTTCACTATGTTCCTACTCAAGACAACCTCGCTGACATTGGGACCAAGCCTTTGCCCCGTGACCCTTTTCTTCGCATCCGTGGTCTTCTCGGTCTCACCCATGTTTCCTCTTGAGGCACCCTACCCCGGGGACATCCTTGAGGGGGGGTGTTGTGGAAGCAAGAATGTCCCAGTGGGTACCTTTGGTCTTAGTGGTCGCGGGTTCAACTCTCATCGGCAGCACCTTCTCTTCTCATTATGCCGAACATGACACTCCCACACTCCACCACACTCACCCACAGTGAAGTGTGGTCACAGTTGGCATTGCCATCTGTCCACCCATCCCATACTCACCTTGTTGGCTCCTATGGTGTGCCACATGCTGCCATGTAGGCTGTTGTTCCAGCCTGGCCCACATGTGCAACATGTGGCCTCAATTGCTAGCTTGGCAAGGTTGGCTAGCCCTGCCCTCAGCTTTGAGGTGCTGCAGCTAGCCTCAAGAGTTCAGCCACATAAATGTGGCTTCCCACTTCTCTAGAACTCATCCTTGGAAAGGACATTGCTCTAGCCTTTCAGGCTTGTACCATCTTCCTACTAAGGATATATTGTTCTTCTCTCATTGTGCCTCAAGTTCACCGATCCTCATTCTACACTCACCATCCCACCATCCATCCCTCCGTCTACTTTTCCCTCTTTCCCCCTTGCCCTCCTCAGCTACCATCGGACAGTGCATGGCAGGGCGTGTGTCTGGCACTCGCAGAGCTGGCAGCCAGAGGGCTGCTGCTGCCGTCGCGCCTGCACTCCGTCACGCCGCTCCTCGCCTCCGTGTGTCTCGTCCCCCACTGCCCTTAATCGCTCAGTAGACGTACTTGACCTCAACACTCATTCACTCACGTCACACACAAATGATCTCTCTCTATGCTCCAAACCCCACCACATGATTGTGCCATCCGCAGTCCATACCCTCTCTGCCCCTCATGCACTCAAGCCCTTTTACACCGCACAGCACTCACACTTCAAATTTTCGTGCCATGTCATATCGCCCACCCCTCACGCTTGCTCCCCCTCTTCTCTTTCCTCTCTCCTCTCCCCCCCCTTCCCTCTCCCCCAGGCGTTGCACTACGAGGTGTTGCGGGGGGCGGTGGGCACGGGGGCGCATGTGCGCGATGCAGCGGCGTATGTGTGTTGGGCCATCGCCCACTCCTTCTCACCGCCCGTTGCTGCTGCCTCCCTGCAGCAGCTATGCCCTCACCTCCTCGCCGTTGCCTGCTGTGACCGCCAGGTGGGCTGCTGTGACCACCATGCCCCATGCCGCATGCCCCATCCCCCATGCACCATGCCCCATGCGCCATGCGCCATACCCCATGCCCCATGCCATTGCCACATGCCCCGTGCCCCATGCACTATGCCCCATGCCGTGTGCTCCATTCCTCACACCCCATGTCCCATGCAACATGGGCAGATGAAGTGCAGGTGGGCGGCAGCAGCGGCCTTCCAGGAGGTGGTGGGCCGCTTTGGCTGCATCTCCGACGCCCAAGCGCTCTCCACACCCACCACCCGAGGCACACCCCATGCCTCCACCAGAGGACCTAGCCAAGGAGGTGATGCGGTGGAGAGTGGTGCGGAGAAGGAGGAGCAGTGGGTGCCAGCAGGGGGCATCGCCATAGTGAATGCGGCTGACGTCACGTCGCTGTCATCCACTCGCACTGCATTCACTCAGGTGCCCACCACAGCCGCATCTGTCAGTCTGAGAAGCCTTCTTTGTCCTCATCTGCCTTTGCCCTTTAGCACATGCACATGCACCACACACCTGCCCCCGTTACCATCATTTCTCCTCGCCTCCCATATCTCCTCCTGCCTCTCCTCCTGCTGTCCCCCCTGCTTCCAGGTGGCACTATTCGTGGCAGGCTATCCGGAGTACCGCGAGCAGCTGTTGCTCAAGCTAGCAGCCAGCACGCACCACTGGGACAAGGCCATCCGCGCCCTCGCAGCTGAATCCCTCGCCGCCATTGTCCCTCTTGACCCGCCCCGCCTCCTCTCCCTCTTGCACCTACACCTCCTCCCCCTGCTCGCCTCCCCCGACCCCCCCTCCCGCCATGGGGCTCTCCTGGCCACCGCAGCCCTCCTCCCGCCCCTCTCCGCCTCCCCGCCCTCCCCGGCCCTCTCAGACACCCTCTCCTCACTCACCGCCTCCCTCCCCACGCTGCTCGCCCCGCGCTCCTTCCGAGGGCGCCTAGCTGCGGATCTCAAGGTGGCCTGCTGCCGCCTGCTCTCCGCGCTCGCTGCTGCACTGCCCCGCGCACAACTGCCGCCCCTGCCCACACCTGCTCTCACTGTGGCTACTGCTTGCCTGCACGACATGCTGGCAGGGGATGGGGGGGAGCTGCAGGTGAGGGAGGGGATGGGGAAGGGAGGGGGGAGAGGGAAGGAGTTGAATGAGCACGCACTAAGCATGGTGATTACACCGTGTCAATGCATACATCGTACTGCATTAACTCAATGCTCATGCTTCATCACCCTCCTTTTCCTCTCCTTCCCCCACCCCGCATCTTTTTCCCCACTCTTTTCACCCTTTTCCCCAGTGTGCGCGGGCGCGCTTTGTCTCGTCAATCCAGGAGGCAGCAGCAGCAGCCCTGTGGGACCTCGCTCGCACCCAGCATTCCCCTGCTTGCACAGACTTTGCTCGCCAAATAATAACGCGCCACGTGGCGACTCTGGAGTCCGCCAGCTCAGCAGCGAGTGCGAGGCGAGGCGCTGTGCTGGCGCTGCAGTGCTTCCTGCCCAGCCTCTGCCCCGCCTGGCCCTCCGCCTCTCCCCTTGACTCCCCTGCTGCTGGCACTGATAACGTGGGGCTAGGTGTGGGGGGCGCAAACACAGGGCTAGAGGACGGAGAAAGACATGGGGAGACGGAGGGGAGAGGGGGTGAGGGAGGGGTGGATGAGGGTGAGAGGTCAAGGCGCGAGCTGGCAGAGCGGGTGGTGAAGGCGCTGTGTGCTGCTGCCACTGACAATGTGAGTGCTCTCTGCCTCTTCCCCTCCACCCATCCCCATTCCCTCCATCCTGCCTTTCTTATCCTCTGACTTCCCTAACATTGCTGCCTCATCCTTTCATTTCGTGTGTCCAGACACCCTTAGGATCGGATCTCCAAGCCCTTATCATTTCCTCCAACCACCCATCCGTCACCCACGCTGCAACAACCTCCCACCCCTTATCCTCCCTGTCAACCCTGCAGCGGGGGCGTCGTGCTGTGACTGACGTGGCAGTGCGCGCAGCAGCAGTGGAAGCGCTGGGTAATGCAGCCAGCATCATTCCCCTCCTGCAGGCCGGCGGGGCAGGCGCAAGGGGGCACACAGGGACGGGTGGGGGAGATGGGGCAGAAGCGGAAGGGGAGGGCGAGAAGGAGGAGGTTGAGGTGAGCAGGCAGGGTGGGTTGGTAGGGCGAGGGTGGTGGGAGGGGGGGGGGGGAGGGCGTGGTGGCGGCGTTGCTGCGAGCTGCACAGGACTACACGGAGGACCAGCGGGGTGACGTGGGCCGCCTCGTGAGGGAAGCTTCCATGAAAGCGCTGGTGGCGTGGGTGGAAGAAGTGTACAGATTGAGAGAGGTGTGGGAGGGCGAGGTGGGAAATGCACCAAGTAACACTGACGCAGCACCTGACGCCCCATCGTCTCAGCGGCGGCACATTGGGGTTGGGGAATGGTGCAGAGCGGTGGCAGGGCGGGTGGTGGGTGTGCTGCTGAAGCAGGCGGGGGAGAAGATTGACGGCACCCGCAAGGTGGCGGGGCAGGGGCTGCAGCGGCTGCTGTGGGGGAGCAAGCACGGTGCAGCGATGGCAGGGACACAAGAGACAAGAGGGGAAGCAGGGACTGCAGAGGCAGTTGAGGCACGTGGTGCTGGTGGCAGCACGCAGGGGGCATCAGGTGGAGGCGGGGAGGAGACGGATGGAGGAGGCGCAGTGAGTCAATGCGTGGGCGGCACGGCACAAGGGAGCGGTGTGTGCAGGGATGTGGATGGGTGGGAGCAGCTGAGGCAGCACGTGCCCTCCGACCCTCACTTCGCATGGAAGGTGCGCCTCCCACTGTTCTCTGCTTTGCAGTGCTGTGCTGTGCCCTTCCCTATTCCACTCTCTCAGCTCCCTTGTTGTTCCAGTCCTTCTCATTCCCACCCACCTGCTCCGCTCGCCTTCACCTCCGTCATTTCCCCTCCCTCCCCCGCCACCCCCTTCCCTCCCCACCCTGCCAGAATCCTGCGGCTGTCTTTCCCCGTCTGGCCCCGCTGCTGCTGCTGCCAGCCTACCGCCTGCCACTGCTATCAGGGCTGCTTCTCTCCGCGGGCGCTCTCTCCCACTCCCTCACTGCCGCCTCCCTGCGCGCCCTGTTCTCTCTCAAACCAGCTGAGGGGACACAGGGGGCTATGAGGGGGACAGGAGAGGGGGGAGATGGTGGGCAGTGGGAGGAGGTGCAGGGGCGGATAGCAGAGGACGTGGTGGTGCTGCTGAGGCGGCACCGCAAGCAGAATCGAGTCATAATCCCGTACATCAAGGTATACCGCTGCAGTTGAGTGGGAGCCACCTGAATGTCAGCAGCATGGCCAGCGGCTTGCGGTTGTGTGACCTGCCGTGTGGGAGGGTGCAGCGAAGCCAAGCGCTGTGATGCCTTGCCGCCATGCATGCTTGTGTGTGGGTCCTTGTTGATGCTTGCTTGCACCCGCTCTGCCACTCTCATCTCCCCTCTGCTCTCGCTGCGTGCGTGCTTCTACTGCTTCCCACCTTCCCCCACTGCAGGCCATCGCTGCTGTACTTGAGGCGGATTTCTTTGGGTCGTTATCAGCAGACACCCCGGCTTCAGCAGACACCCCGGCTTCAGCAGACACCCCGGCTTCAGATGACGTCAGTGAAGCCCTGCACTGCACTGCACCTGCCGCATCAACACCTGCTCCCTCCGCTCTCCATCCATCACATCCCTTGCTTCACATCCCTTGCTTCACATCCCTTGCTTCACATCCCTTGCTTCACATCCACACTCCAGCAATCCCTTTCTGCATGCCAGCCGTCTCCACTCTACCGTCCTGCATGGCGTTCCCTTCCCTCCCACGCCCTGCCCTCTCCCACCCCCCTTGCAGCCTGCCACTCCCACCACCTCCCTCGCGGCTCTACCTGGGGTGTTGGTGGGGAGTGTGGAGGAGGAGCTGTGCCGCCCACAGCCCACGGCATCGGTGCCCAAGATGCTGGCGGCCGTCGACCTGCTCTGCCACCTCGCCGCCCCCCTCTGCTCTGCCCGCCAGCATGCCCTCTCCACGCTACTCTGGCTGCTCGCCGTGCGCTTCCCCACTGTGAGTTCACCTCATAGTCCCCACTGTGAGTTCACCTCATAGTCCCCACTGTGAGTTCACCTCATAGTCCCCACTGTGAGTTCACCTCATAGTCCCCACTGTGAGTTCACCTCATAGTCCCCACTGTGAGTTCACCTCATAGTCCCCACTGTGAGTTCACCTCATAGTCCCCACTGTGAGTTCACCTCATAGTCCCCACTGTGAGTTCACCTCATAGTCCCCACTGTGAGTGTACCTGCCAGTCCCCACTGCGATTGTGCCTGCTCTGGCAGCATCGCACCCACTACTCGTATTGGCATAGCACCTAGCACCGCCATTGCGCGCCACTGCGTAGCTCCGCCTTACCTGTCCAGTGTCACAGCAAACCCGTTCGATGGGTTGTGTTACATGTGTAAAAGATCAAGACCCTTCCATTTCACATCCACCCTTGCACTCGCAACAGGTTCGAAGGCACTGTGCAGAGCAACTGTACTTGGTGCTTCTAATGGGAACAGAAGGCGGGGATGAAACAGAGGATGTTGATAGAGAGGCAGCGTTGGAACAAGCTCAAAATATTCTTAGCGCTGATTGGGGTGCAATGGATGATGCTCTGGTTTCTAGTCAAACGAAAGATCTGCGGGCTTTGTTAGAAACTGTTTTCTCGTAAGAGATCTGTGTGCATATACAAAGCAAATTCTCAATCAACCAGTGGCAATATCATACTAAATTATTCACATGTAATGCACATAGAATCTTATGCAGAGCAATGCAAGCTATGACAGCAGCACTTTCGCTTGCTACTCCAGGCAGCACACTCGGGGTTCGGCGAATTATTTGGAGAGAGTGCGACAGTCAATACTGCGTACGGCAAATTCTGGGTCTCCAATGCCGCCAACAACTGTTCAGTTATAATTTCCACCCTACCATATTTTTCGCGCCATTTCAGTCAAAAGCACACAGACCATCATCCTTTTGCGTACTTGACACGCCATCGCCATGGCGGACGAGGCAGAGCGCGCCAAGCCGAAGCCGTTCAAGGCGGAGTACGCCAAGTCGGCGCGCGCGAGCTGCCGGAAGTGCAAAGAGAGCATCGCCATGTTACTTGGCGATAGTGTCTGGCCACTATGTAGGTTGACAGGTTTCAGCACTTGGTCTCTGGATTTTCAGTTGGGTTTTCACTGGAATTGGTAATGACATTGCAAAACAGAACAAGCATTATATATCCAACCAATTTCAGCACTGTGCGACTCGTGTAACGCGTCTGCCGCATCTCATATCGCGTCGCACGCGAAACCGCGTGGTAACCGAAACACACACCGAAACCAGCGAACCGATTACGGTGCGTTGTGGTTGGCCCAAATCCAGCCACGAACAATCTCGACACTTCCTGCACATCGCAACTAGGTCTTCCACACATTTCCCTTTCTTCCTTTCCTTTCTTCTCCCGATTCTTCTCAAACTCCTTGCTGCCATAGCTTTCTCCCTTCCGCACCGTTCATAGCTTGTAGATTAGTCTCGTTAGGTCAGCGACGGCACCGTTTGGCGCTCCGCGTAGCAGCCGCCGTTCGGCGCTCCGCGTGGCAGCCGCAGACCACCTCAACAACCTCCCCTGTGGTTTGGGGATGCCACTCCTCTCCTCAGCATCACTTAGGTTACCGTGTAACCAGCAGCCCTCAGTATCGCAACCATATGCTTATACGGCTGCCCATTGCTCCCCTGCAGGTCTCGAAGGGCACGGATACCCACGAGTGACTTGCAATGCTCAAAGTTCGATTTGGGCAGGACCTTGGTGAGAAAGTCGGCTGCTTGCTCCTCCGATGGTACGTGCTTGAACTCAAACGTATTCTTCTCGAGCTGCTCGCGCACCCAATGATACTTCACATCCATGTGTCGGGTGCGCCCATGCCAATTGTCATTGTTCGCAAGGTCGATCGCTGATTGGCTATCCGTTCAGATGGTAGTTGGCCCTTGAATGGGGATGTCGAACTCTCGTAGGAGTCGTCGCAGCCACACGCCCTCTTGGCACGCGTAGAATAGTGCCATATATTCAGATTCGGCGCTTGAGAGGGCGGTGTCTTGAAGTTTCTTTGCTGTCCAAGCGATTGCCGTCCCTCCAAGTAGGTAAACGTAGCCGTATGCGCCTTTGCGTGTCTTCTTGTCCGAGGCATGTGAGACATCGGCGTACCCCACTAGCTTCATGTCTTCCTCTCCTCCCTCGAACAACAATCCTGCATCGTCCGTTTGCAGCAGGTAGGTCATTGTCCTCTCTATCTCTCTCCATTTCCACCCTTCCGGTTGTAGCACTTGCTGCCCAAGGAAGCTCGCAGCAAGGTGATGGCTTGGCGAATGCACGGCGATGACGGGTTCATGTCGCATGGCTTCGCAGGCTATAGCGTTTTAGGGTCTTGAGGTTGACGGCATTGCAGTGCAGTCATGCGCGCGCCCTCCGCAATCCCCTGTACAACTGCATCTCCCTCCATTTCCACTCCCCTCTCTTCACCTCATTCCGCTCCCTCTCCCCAAGTTTCTACGCTGCTCTCATCCCCCTCCCTGCGAATTTCGCCCGCTCCCTTCATCCATCCCCCTCCCGTTCCGCCTATCCCCCACCCCCACTCCCCCCGCCCCGCCCCGCCACCATGTGCGCGGAGCAGCTGTGGTTCCACGCGAGCTGCATCTTCAAAGCCCCGGGACTCATCACCAAGTCAGTGCCCCTCTGCTCCCCTGCCGCCGCTGCCACCGCTGCCACCCATGCCACCCCTGCTCTGCTGCCCCCCAGCTCCCCTGCTCGCCTGCGCCCATCCCTCTTTGCCGCCTCTCTTTGTGCGCCGTCCGCGCTTACCCCTCTAACACTGCCACATCCCAGCCCCCACCTTTTTCCGCTCACTCCATAGCCAATGCCCGCTTCTCCCCCCATTCCATCGCCGCCTATCCACTGCGCTCCCCCTCCCCCCTGCCACTGCGGCCGACGTGCGGGGCGTGAATGTGCTGCAGTGCCTCTACATCGCACGCACCTCAACAATACGACTCACTCCCCCTCTGTGTCTTCCCCCCTCTGTGAAGGACAAGCTGCGCGCACACCTGAGTGTGGCAGACATGCGCGCTATGCTGGAGGCCAATCAGCAGGAGCCAGGTGGCAGCGAGGACGCCCTGAGGGAGCGCTGTGCGGACGGCACGCTGCCCCGAGAACCTGCTGCTGGACGCCAAGATCGCCTACTTTGGGCTCAGCAATGTGATGCGCGACGGCCTGCAATGTGATGTAAGCATTGCTGACTTTGGGCTCAGCAACGTCATGCGTGACGGTTCCTCAAGACGTCCTGTGGCAGCGCCAATTACGCTGCTCCGGAGGTATGAATGGGGCAAATGCATGGGTTCCTAAGCTGCTGTTGCTCTGTACAGGAACTTTTAAGTCCTAGGTAGCTTGTCAGTTTGAAGCTTGTTGACTTTCGCTCACTGAATCTTTCATCACTGGCTCTGTCATGAACTCATCTTCCCTCCTCTCCTCCTCTGCCCTCTGCCTTCTGCCATCCCGCCTGCCCAACCCCTTTCAGATGATACCTGGGCAGCTGTAAGGAGGTCCCGAGGTGGACGTGTGTGTGGGCCTGATTTCAATCACTTGGAAATCATTCTCCCGCTTTGCCCGCCTTTCCCTGATTTCCCTCAGCTGATATCAGGGTTGGTGGCTGTACGGAGGTCCCGAGGTGGACGCATGGAGCTGGTTTGGAACTCTAAATGCTCGACTCACCTCTGTAGCCCGTTAGGTGGACGTGTGGAGCTGGTATCAATCACTTGCCGGACTGACTCCTGTACACACATCCCTCCCCCTTTCCCCATCCCTCCCCTTTCCCCTGTACGGAGGTCCCGAGGTGGACGTGTGGAGCTGCGGGGTGATTCTGTACGTGCTGCTGTGTGGCAGCCTTCCATTCGACGATGGAAACATCCCCAACCTCTTTAAGTAGATCAAGGTGCGGTGCTGTGCGGTGATGGTGGGTGATGGTTCGATTGATTTTTGTACGCGCTGCTGTGTGGCAGCCTTCCATTCGACGATGAAAACATCCCCAACCTCTTTAAGAAAATCAAGGTGCGGTGGGCTGCGGTGCTGTGGGGTAATGGTGGGATACGGTGCAGTGTATGAGCGTGCAGTGCAGCGTATGAGCGGGCGGTGCAGCGTATGAGCGGGCGGTGCAGCGTATGAGCGGGCGGTGCAGCATATGAGCGGGCGGTGCAGCATATGAGCGGGCGGTGCAGCATATGAGCGGGCGGTGCAGCATATGAGCGGGCGGTGCAGCATATGAGCGGGCGGTGCAGCATATGAGCGGGCGGTGCAGCATATGAGCGGGCGGTGCAGCATATGAGCGGGCGGTGCAGCATATGAGCGGGCGGTGCAGCATATGAGCGGGCGGTGCAGCATATGAGCGGGCGGTGCAGCATATGAGCGGGCGGTGCAGCATATGAGCGGGCGGTGTAGCATAATTCACAGCCCCCTGTGAACTGGCCCCATTTCACAGCCCCCTGTGAACTGGCCCCATTTCACAGCCCCCTGTGAACTACCCTCTCTTATTGCATGCAGGGTGGCATGTACGCCCTGCCCCACCACCTGTGATACCGCGCATGCTGCTGGTCGACCCCATGAAGCGCATCACCATCCCCGAGACCCGCCACCACCCCTGGCTCCTCGCCAAGCTCCCCCGCTACCTCGCCGTGCCGCCGCCAAATGCTGCCGAGCAGGCCAAACGGGTGAGAGGCAGGATGGATGAGCATGCAGAGAAGTTGAGGGTTTCAGGAATCAGATTTACGAGGAGAGATTGCTGATATTCCTGATAGGGTTCAGATAGTGGCGAAGTTGTGGTTTGATGAGGACTGCATTGCGGAGTCGCACCTCTTCGCATCCTCCCTTCCCCACCCCCCTTCCCCTCCCCTCCCAATCACACTAGAAAATTGAGAAGGTGTTCTTGCTGGTGACCGAGGTGGTGCTGACGATTATCGCTCCTCTCCTCATTCTCTCTTCTCATAATTCCATCCTTCCCTTCTCCACCACCGTCAGATTGACGAGGAGATCTTTCAGGTGGTGACGAAGATGGGGTTCGACCAGGAGCACCTGGCGGAGTCCCTGCGGGAGCGCCGCACGAACACGGCGACAGTGGCCTCGTACCGGCTGCTGGACTCGCACCGCCGCATCTCCATGGGCTATCTGGGCGCCCAGTTCAAAGAGCACAAGGAGGGGCAGCACGACCAGCACGCCACGCACGCGCTTGCAGCCGATGGGTCCCCACTGGTAGCCGCGAGGGGAGGGCTGGGGCATGCGCTGGTGGCGAGGCGGAGTGTTGGGAGTGGGGGGGGTGGCGGGAGCGGGGGGTTGGGGATGGGGGTGCCGGGGTCGACCGCGCAATATCATCAGCACGTTGTGGCAGATCGGAAATGGGCGCTGGGGTTGCAGGTGAGGGAGTGAATGTGGGAGTGGAACAGGTAGGTGGGCTGGGATGGGGGTGGACCAGGTAGGTGGGCTGGGGATGGGGGTGCCGGGGTCGGCCGCGCAGAGTCATCAAAGGGTTGCTGTAAGTGTGTATCAATGAGTGTGGGTGTGAAAATGAGGAGCTGCATAACGCTGCAGGTGACCGCCCTTCCCTCTCCCTCTCCCACCCCCCTCCTACCTCACCCATCAATCCTTTCCACTTCCATCTCCCTCCTCCTCCCTTGCTCCTCCCTTGCTCCTCCCTTCCCTCCCCACCAGTCCCGCGCGCACCCAATGGAAGTGAGGGGGGAGGCATTCCGCGCACTGCAAGCGCTGCAGGTGCGGGGGAAGAAGCTCTCTCCCTACGTCGTCAACTGCCGCTGGGACGGACCCCTCCCCTTCCCCCCCAACTCCTCCTCCTCCGCCTCTCGTGCTGCCTCTAGCACAGCCTCTTGGGTGCACGGGCATGGGCGTGGGGGTGGGTATGGTGGGGCAGGGGGGATGCGGATGGGATGCTGGTGGATGGGGGGCGGTTGGATGGTGTGTAAGGACGATACAGGACGAGAGAGGCCGCCCGGTGATTCCTGTGGAGGCGCTGGTGGGCGGCGGGGTTCGGCTGCGGTTTGAGATGCAGGTGAGCGTGTGTGTCCCAGTCTCTCTCACTGCTGCTCTTCGATCGAACTTACCTTGAGCAACGGCCCTCATCGCCCTTGCTTGTGCACTCCACCTCCCCCTCGTTGCCTTTCTGTGCCTTTTTATCATGCATACCGCAACGCAAATGGCTCCCGCTGCTCTGTTGCTGGATGTGTCCTGGAGGTTGTGAGACTGAGAATTCTCAGAACTTGCCGGGTGTGGGGTTCACTGCTCCTGAAGTCACTACATGAGTCGTATCGTAATGATTGCTCTTGAACTCCATCCATTCCCTTACCGCACTGCACCGCACAGCTGTTCAAGGTGCGGGATGAGAAGTATCTTCTGGGCGTGCAGCACGTGGACGGCTCTCACATGCTCTTCCTCGCACAGCTGCATGTCATCTGAACCGTGCTGCTACGTGTCGGGAAAGCTAGTTGCATGTAACTGGTTACATGTCATTTGAACCTGGTTACATCTCACCAACGCGAGTTTTGTGCAGTTGCAGAGCAGTCTGGAGAAGATTGCTTGCCAGTCCTTTTGGCTCGTACGGCACCAGTGTCACTCTGAATTGTGGCACCTTTTTGTACCCTACCCTGCTAATACCATACATTCCCCATATAAACAAATGCAGCGTTATTGGACCCTGCCAAGCCAACCAGCCCCTTTCTGTAGGCTGGAAGAAGCTACCCTACCTAGCGTTTGCCACTTTGAACTGCCGTCCCAAGGAATGTGAGGATTCCCAACGTGCTATGCTCACACACCCTGCTATTGTAGTGTGCTCAGCTCACACACCCTGCTACCAGTTCATTCCCCATATAAACAAATGCAGCGATTGTGAAAGCTTGCTTATTGCAACTTGTAATAGGCATCGTGCTTCATTTCATGGCATCGTGCTTCATTTCATCTGGGTAAGAGTACATCAATCTCATCCAAATGTCTACAACATACAATTTCACTACATAGGGTGCAGAGGAGGACGGCGCTGTCGCTGGATAGACAGCTGATGCTGGTTGGAGGATGGGGCTCGTGTGGGGTCCTGGATCAGCCGGGATGCTGCAACGAGCTGGTCTTGAGCGATGGTGACGTAAAGCTCCTTCGCGGTGTCGCTGCGCCGGCGGCCTAGACGTTTGAACATTCGATCCGTGATCCCGACTCCGGCAGCTGTCGTTGCTGCACCTTTGCGAAATGAGTGGGTGCCCAAGTGCTTTGCGTCGAGCCCGACCTTGCGGAAGGCTTCCAAACACCAGTTCCGAAGAGTGGGGTATCAGGGAGATTTGTCTTGTGGTGTTGCCTTTGCGCCACGTGGGAAAACTCGGATGAGAGGGCCTTCGGTTGATGAGTCATAGCCGGCAATCTTGATGAATTTCTGGGTGGTTTGGACTGGGCAGTATGGCCCATCTGTTGCCGCGACTGGGACCCACACTCCTTTGCTCTCCTGGTCAGTTTTGGAGTGTGGGGTTAGAACCCACATTGCCGTATCCTCGAATTGAATGTCCTGCCACTGAATCGCGACCAGGTCGGAGTAGCGTAGGAACCCAGTGTACATCAAGAGCGGAATGAGACCTTTCTGAAATTCGGATGGGATGTGGGATGTGAGAAAATCTTGAGCCATGCTATGGACCTGGTGAAGCGAGACTGGATCTTTGGTCCGGTTGGGGCGCGGTGCGTGGCGCTTGGCGAACTCGCGTACTTGCGATATGAAGGGGCCGTCGGTGGGACACGCCGTCCCAATCATTTTGTGTGCGAAGGCTACCGCGGAGCATGTTAGTGTGATAGCAAATAGCGTGGCTTTGTGCTTGAGGGCGTGCACGAGGTACAGCGCGAGTGTCAGGTCCGTGGTAGGTAGGTAGCTCAGCGAAACCTTCTTGCAGAAGGCTCGGAACTTGAGCCAGTAAGGTTCATAGGTCTGGATGGTGGAGGGTGCCCTCACTTGGCTGATGACCGTAAAGAGTTGCTTTTGGAGGTTGTTTAATAGTTTTGCCATCAATAAGAGCATGCAATTACATTGAGAAATTTATAGCCAATGCAAGGATGGGACTATTTGGAAATCCAGCGCCTGAGAACGAAGATGTGTGTGTGCCTGGGTGAAGGCATTGACTACCGCTTGCAAGTGCTAGGTGGCTGGTGATCCCCTTGGCCCATGTCTGGGGAGATGGCTGCATAAGGGGCCACCAAGCAGCCCCTGTCCATTGTGGAATCACAAGAGTGATCTTTGCGTGGGTGCGTTGCGCGTGCCGAAGGGTTGCTGGGATGAGGTGGGGGGGTGGGAACGCGAAACCGTGCTCTCCCCTCCAATCCGTCGAGAATGCGTTGACCGCTTCAGCCTTGGGATGGGGCACCTTCGAGCAAAAGCGAGGTAACAACGCGTTGCGAGCGTTTGCGAATAGGTCGATGGAGTGGGGCCCCCAACGACGTTCAAGGAGGCGAAACCACGGTTGTTTCAGAGTGTAGTCATCATGGTCTTGCAGCTTGGAGAGCTCGTCCGCATGGGTGTTCAACTCGCGAGGGATCCATTCGATCGCCAAGCGAACCGAGTGTTCCGTACAAAGAGAGATGATTTCTTTGCAGGTGAGGGTGAGCTCGGTGGTGCTTGAGCCGCCCTTGCGTAGGATGAACATGACGCCTTGATTGTCGACACGGACTAGGGTGTGGCCACCCTGGATCTGATGCATGAAGGTGCGTAGGGACCACAAAACACCTTCCAGCTCCCACCAAATGCTGGATGTGGGTGGCAAGTGTGAGGGCATGCTTGCGCTTGCTGTGCTCCTCTCTCCGCGGAACGTGACGAGTGTGGCGCCCCAACTGTGTGCGCTTGCATCCACCTGGATGACCGCATCGTAATGGTGCGGTTGATGGAACGGGGCACCATTGAACTTGTCGAATTGCTCCATCCAGAAGCCCAGTTCGTCAATTGCCTCTGATGATAGCGATATCCGGGAGTTCCATGATGGTGCGGTGTTGATGGTTTGGAGCAGCTCGTGGCTGAAGGCTCGTGCAGTTGCTCCCAGAGCGAGGCTCATTGATGCGAGCATGCCGGTGACTCGGGCGACGTGGCGGATGTGTACTTGGCGACCTCTACGCCCCTCGGTAATGAGCGTCGCCATTGTGGATTTTAGTTGAGATCGACGTTCGTCTCCCACCGAGAATGTGCAGCTTCGAGTGTCCAGCTCGAGGCCAAGGAAGCGGAGTGCTTGGGTGGGGAGCAGCTGGGACTTCTTCTTGTTGATCACTAGACCGGAGTCCTTTAGGTCTTGCACGATCATGGTGCATGTTGATTGGGCTTGTTGGGCTGACTCGGATAGCACTAAGATGTCGTCGACGTATGGGATCACTCGCCATCCACGTGCACGCCATCGTCGAGCGAGCTGCTTGATAAGTTGGGTAAAGACGAACGGGGCTGTGGCCAACCCGAATGGTAAGGAGCGGAAGTAGTAATATGCTCCGTCGAACTGGAAGCCAAGGTATCGCCAGCAAGTTGGGTGTATGTCCACATGGTGATACCCCGATTTGAGGTCGACGGAGAACATCCAATCGTTCGGCTTGATCAACTCTGCCATGCGAAGCAGTCCTTCGTATTTGAACTTGGGCACGCGCAGGTGCTCGTTGACCTTCCGAAGATCCAGTATGAGGCGACATTTTTCGCGTTGCTCGACCGCGTTGAGCGGGCTAACACATGAAAGTGCGGCTCGATCGGATGCCTCTGCAGCGGCACTCGTGCGAAGGAGGTCCTGGACTGCGGTTCGGGTGAAATCACCATGTGCTTCTGTGCCGGCGTGGTTTTTCGATTCAAAGGGCGTGGGGGGCTCGTTCTTCCATGGGAACCAGTAGCCACGTGCAATGATGGATAAGATGAAGCTGCTATCGCACCATGAGCACCACCAGTGGAGTGCTTGGCGCAGTTGGCCTTGCATTACGAATATAGTTGTGTCTGTCACCGCGAACTCGTATGGGTCGGTTGCCCTCATTACCCATTTGTTGCTCTCGGCTGCGTACCAAACGATGCATGCAGGAGACGGCGTTAGTGTGCTAATCAGTAAGGAGCGATCATGGTCCTACGTACCATATGCTACGAGTAGTGTGCGAGAATCCCCTCGCCCTTCCGTGTCTTGCTTTGCGGTGTGGGGTGATGGCCAGAGCTCGTCGTTCAGTGATGGCTACCTTTTGTCCAACTTAGTGATGGGTTGGGTAGGCGTGGGCATATGTGTGCCACCGTACCATTCAACCTATTCCACTCTCTTTCTCTCTCTCCCCCCCTCCTTGGCCTTTTCTTGTAATTCTTGGCGTGGGTGTGCCGAGCTTTGGCACCTCTGAATCTGCCCCTTGGCAGTCCCTCCTTTTGGGACCCCTTTGTCACCTTGCTCTCTCGCTCCTTCCATCCCTTTTTTTTTTTTTTTTTTTTTTTTTTTTTGGGATGCGAAGCAACCTATTACGATCGTTATGTACATTTTTTTTTTCCAATCCTCAATATTTTAAAAAATAAAGGATGGAAAAAATAAAGTGAACGGTACCGTACTAGCTAAGTAACTGACTGCTATGTATCTGCCGCGTCAATTTACCATGTGCTGAACCACATTCCTTCTCATTTCCTAGTTTACTTTGACTGAACCTATATTTCATGAGTTGCCCAAATGATGAACTGTGAACGCGTAACTGTTTATTCCGTGATGCATATGTCTGATGTTGTTATAAGTAGATGAAGTAAATGCAAATGCAGAAGTATAATGCATATACTACCGGTAATGAAATAAATGCACAGCATGATGGAAGTGCGTAATAGTTAATTAACGCAGACCCTATGCTACCGCATCCCCTGCCTAGCATGGGGGGGAGCTCAATAGCATAATTTCTGAATCATCCAACTGTTACATGAAACAACACAATCTATGTGATCTAAAAAACGGGTCAATTCCATCAAATCCAGTTCGAATGGACACACTCACTGAGTGCGCAAAGAACCTTCTCGGAAATGACAGTTTGATCCCAATTTTTAAACCCCACAGACATGTGTTATTAATGCAATAGAAACATGAATGAAAACACATACGCACATAACACAACGCATACACATGATCATACACATTCACACATACACGCACACACGAAGCCAACTAACAAAGCATATTAACCGCAGATGAAATAGAAACCTAAATCACCAAGATATTATGTATCCTATACTGTAAGTCACAAGCAATATCAGTCTACTTCTCATATTGAGCTCGACTGCCTGGAAAGTAAGACAAAGCTGGGTTGAGGAAGGGAAGGCAAATGGGAAATAACAAGGCATAATGAAATTACGAGAAAAAGGAATAATGAAGAAACAAATGAAACAATACAAGGGCCAAGAGAAACGCCATGAGCATTGAAAGGTTAGAGCTGACAAATAACAAGGAGAAAATGTACTAAGG